AGAAGACCGCAAGAGAGCGAAAGAACAGCAATATTGTTGCTGTATAGCGGAAATGTAATAGAACAAGAGCGTAGCAAGAGATCAAAAAAAGCAAGACGACATTAAAGCAGGGAGAGACGAAGCGAAAAGGAAAAACCAAAGAATAAGAAAACAACAAGGCAGTAGCGAGAGAATACATAGAGCAAGAAGCATAAGATCAACAAGAAAGCAATAGAGCAAGAGAGTAATAGAATAACAGAGCAAGACAATAGCAAAAGAGCAGTAAGAGAGCAAAAGAACAAGGGTACGGAAGAGCAACTAATAGACAACAATAGAGCACAAGAAAGTAAAGGAACAGTAAGAGAATCGGAGAACAAGAGAGCAAGACAACAGAAAAAGTCAAGCAAAAGAACAAGAGTAAGAAAATAAAAGAGCAACAAACATAAAGAGGACAAAATAACAGCAAGAGAGCAAAGGAGCAAGATATAGTAGAGTAGAACAGTTAAGTCAGGTCAGGTCAAGTCAAGTCAGGTCAGGTCAAGTCAGGTCAAGTCAGGTCAGGTCAAGTCAGGTAAAGTCAAGTCAGGCCAGGTTAGGCCAAGGCAGGTCAGGTCAGAACAAAAGAGCAGCAAGAAAACAAGGGAGCAACAAAAGAGTAGAATAACAAGAGAGCAAGACTACAACAAGATAGTAAGAAAACAAGAGAATACCAAGAGAAGAGCAAGAGAATGAGATAGTAGCAAAAGAGCAAGAGAACAATTGAATAAGGGAACCAGAGAGTAGCAAAAGACAAACAAAAGAGCAGCAAAGGAAAAAGAGGACAAGAGAATGGTAAAAGAACAAAAGAAGAAGAGTAAGTGAAGCAGGAAGAAAACAATAGAGCAGGAGAGCAAGAAAAGACAAGAAAGCAAGTGAGCAGCAAAAGAGTAGAAGAACAAGAGAGCAGAACTAAGAAAGAAAGACAACAAAAGAATACCAAGAGAAAAGCAGGAGAATGAGATAGTAGCAAAACAGCAGCAAAAGAGCAAGAGGTAGTAAAGCAGGAAGAGAATAATAGAGTAGGAGAGCAATAAAACAAAAGAATACCAAGAGAGCAGCAAGACACCAAGAGAATAGCAAAAGACAAGCAAAAGAGCAGCAAAGGAGCAAGAGAACAAGAAAACTGCAAAATACCGAAAGAGCAAGAGACAGTGGAGCAGGATGAGAACAAGAGGGCAGGAGAGCGAATGGCGAACGAAAGGGCAGTAAAAGAGCAAAAGACAGTGAAGCCGGAAGAGAATAATAGAGCAGGAGAGCAAGAAAACAAAAAAATAGCAAGAGAACAGCAAGACGACAAGAGAGTAGCAAAATACAAGCAAAAGAGCAAGAAAATAAGAGAACGGTAAAAGAGTAAAAAAGCAAGAGACAATGGAGCAGGAAGAGAACATTAGAGCAGGGGAGCAAGAAAACAAGAGTGCAACAAGAAAACAAGAGAGTAGCAAAAGACAAGCAAAAGAGCAGCAAAGGAACAAGAGAACAAGAGAACGGTAAAAGAGCAAAAAAGTAAGAGTCAGTGGAGCAGGAAGGAAACAATAAAGCAGGAGAGCAAGAAAACAAGAGAGCTAGACTACAGCAAAAGAGTAAGAGAACACAAGAATACCAAAAGAAGGGCAAGAGAATGAGATAGTAGCAAAAGAGCAAGAGAACAATAGAATAAGAAAACAAGAAGGTAGTAAAGACAAGCATAACAGCAGCAAAAGAACAACAGACAGTGAAGTAAGAAGAAAATAATAGAGCAAGGGAGCAAGAAAACAAGAGAACAGCAAGAAAGCAAGAGAGTAGAAGAACAATAGAGCAGAACTACAGAAAAAAGTAAGATAACAAGAGAATACCAAGAGAAGACAAAGAGAATGAGATAGTAGCAAAAGAGCAAGAGACAGTGAAGTAGGAAAAGAATGATACGTCAGGAGAGCAAGAAAACAGAAGAATAGCAAGGCAACAAGAGAGTAGCAAAAGACAAGCAAAAGAGCAAGAGAACAAGAAAACGGCAGAGCACCAAGAGAACAGTGGAGCAGGAAGAGAACAAGAAGGCAGGAGAGCAAAAAAACATGAGAGCAGCAAGAAATCAAGGGAGCAGCAAGAACACAAGAGAGCGGCAAGTGTGTAATAGAATAAGAATGCAAGAAAACGGTAGAGCAGAAAGAAATAGAACAGCAAGAGAGTAGGAGAACAAGAAAACAAGAGTATAGCAAGGGAGTAAGAGAACAAGAATATACCAAAAGGAGAGCTAGAAAACGAAAGAGTAACAAGAGGATAAGAGACAAGCAAGAGAGCAAGACAGCAGCAAGAGAGTAAGAAACCAAAAGAGCAATAAACAACAGGATAAGGGAATAGCAGCAAAAGGCAAGAGACTAACAAGTGAACAGGAGAGTAAGAAAACAAGAGTCCAAAAAATAGCAGAATAGTAAGAGAACAACAGAGCAGAAAGTAAAAGAGTAGCCAGAGAGCGACAAAAAGAGAGAGACAGAGCGAGGGAAAATCAAAGAATCAGACATATAGTCAGAACTCCAGAGATATAGAGGCGCAGAGTACCAGGGAGACAGAAAGTCAGAGCGCCAAACAACCGGACTCAGAGAAAGACAGATCTCTAGAGAGCCATTGATCTCTAGAGAGCCATTGATCTCTAGAGTGGGCGGGGCTAGTACCTTAAATTAAGACTGATTTTAGCAAATGAGGTACCTCTAAGAAAATAGAGGGCGGGTGGGCGGGGCAAGTACCTGCTAAGATAAGAGTGATTTTTGATAAACGTCTTAGAAACTGCGGTAAAATGTTAACACATCTTTAGAGATTACAGAAGATTTGCTAAAATTATTCATTTATCCCTTTTGGAAAGTCGATTACGTCATCAGAACTACAGATAGATATAGAGGGTCAAATAACCGGACTCAGAGAAATCCAGATCCCTAGAGAGCCATTGGTCTGTAGAGCCAGAGCATCAGAGAGTCAAAGAGTCAGAAATCCAGGGGGCCATCCAGTCAGACAACTAGAGTGCTAGAAAACCAGGAAGCCAGAGAATCAGAATGGCAAAAACACATAGAGAATGCCAGAAATGTAGAGCGCTTGAAAACCACAGATCCAGAGCATCAGAAAGTCGATGAATCAAAAAACCAGACAATCATACAACAGGGAGCCAGAGAACCCGAGCGCCAGAGAGCTAAAGAGCCAGAGTGCTACAGAACCAAAGCGAACTGTGTAACACCAAATTGCCAGAGCGCTGAAAACCATAGTGCCAGAAACTCAGCGCCAGAGAACCATATAGCCAGAACTCCAGAGAAACCCAGAGAACCAGAGCGCCACACAGTCAGATCTAGATGCCACAGAATCAGAGAATCGGGAATCCAGAGGGCCATATGTATGGTCCTCTGGGTTATTAGTTAAAGGACCAGAGCGCTAGAAAACCAGGAAGTCAGAGAGCCAGAGTGCCAGAAACCCAAAGCGCTACAGAGCCATAGATCTGTACTGTGTGTACTCTATATCTATACACTTTTTGCTATTTAAGACAGAGAACAAGCGAATGAGAAAAGGAAAAAATCTTTTTTTTTTCATTAGTGATATACACGAGATTTATAAACGATCCAAGTAGGCACTGATTTGTTCCGCCTCTTTTAAACTGTGGTAACGAAAGAACAATTGTCAAAATTGTTCTAAAACTTAAAAATCGCTACCATTACTAAGAAGTGGCAAATCTGCAGCATTTGTAAATTTCACAGCTCCCTATATAATTAATATGAGAAGATATGTTCCCGTTTTGCTCGATTATTTGAAAAAGTATTTCCCATATCCATCGAAATCTTTGAAGAAAATGTGCTTTTTCATAAGGAATCAGTGAATTATGTAACGGAGTTAATATATAAAATTAAAATCCTGTATTGCGGTTTAATATTAGATTTCCGGAAACATTCTACTGCGACCTGGAGATTAAAAATATAATAATGTTTCATAAAATCGTATCTTTGTCATTAATGCCACTATTTTTATTATCATTACAACCAGAAATTTTTGCGGCATTTAATGAATGTTCGCAACGGAATATATTAACTTTATTTCTTCTACAGTTTCCAATTACATCGCCGCATCCGAGTAAGCTATCCAAATCCTTACAATATCGTATATACAAGAGATAGGTATGCAGCTAAATTAAATCTTTTCTGGTAAATACATGCAAGTGCTTTACGTGCAAATAACTCCACCCCTTTTCACTAATGCTGAGTATTCGAATAATTAAATTCTTGGATTACAAATGAAAGAATACATTTCCAAATTATTTTCGAACATATTTTTGTAGCTTTCCACTCGAATTTAAAAAGAAATTTCGAGAAATGATGAAATTTAATTAAACTGTTGTTCCGAGGTCACAACGATAAAACGGTAGCAGAAGTAAGTCAATTTTCCATTTTTTAGGGGAGGTAATAAACAAGAATGTGAACGAACCCTCTAAGGGAAAAGTTGTAATGAAAGCCCGTTGAATCCTGGTTAGAAAGAATATTAAAATCTTACAATCAGTTTACAAATTTTGTCCAGGGGATAAGCTCTTGAGAGTTGGTCACCATTCGTAAAGTTTTCTTTTACATTTGTCCCCAAAAATAATAATAAAATTTTGAAGTGAATTGTGTGAAACTTTTCTCCTTGCCTGTGCCACCACCTACGCATAAAAATCCGAAGAGTTATTTATTTACACAGTTTCCTCGCCTCTACGTAGTACTTTTTAATGTAGTCAACTTTGTATATGTACAATGTAACACTAAAAATGGTATTACTGTGCTCGCAGAATTTCGGGCAAATTGAACAGTTTATAGCGATGACGTCATTCGCTTTCCGTAGGGAATACAAACACGTTTTATTAATATTCAAGATTACGTCTGGCAACCGGCATATTATATAATATTATCATATTCTTCATAAATAAGACACTTAAGTAAGTACGTGTATGATCTACATGATTCATCTTATTTAACGAACATACAATATTACATAACACTCACCTTCCTGCGACCACAGCAGAGCATATTGCGCGTGCGCGAACGACCGGATGTGATCTTCGAGCGCGCCAATTTCCGCCACTGCATACCAGATTAGCTCTGGGATGTCGTCCTGAAAAATAACAACCATATCCATTATTATACAAAGGACGCATGCCGGCCGCTGTACAATCACAATGATTGATGATGGCCGCGAATTCCAGATTAAAGCCATTTTTTAAAAACACCTGTTTGATATAGCTCGACGCAATCAATTCAAATTTCATTTCGGCTATCACGCTGCATTATTATACGGTATTGATCTGTGTATGTACGCACCATTGGGAAGTTTCATTTCTTTTTTGGAGGCGTTCGTGCATTGAGATGCGGCCAATTTGCTCCGCGTAAAACGTCATCAAAAGGACTTTACACGTATGTCGACGCGCTTTGAGGAGGAGCTCCGCTGCTCTGAAATATGTTTAGGGGAATGTCAAATTTTTCAGACGAGGGGTGCGATAGCTGACAAGAATTGATGCGTTTGTGTAGTTTGACTATTAGGTTTTAGGTCTGCATTTTCGTATGCTATGAGCGTGCGTAAATGGTTCTTTTCAAATCTACTAAATAAACTATTCAGCTAAGTTGTTTACAATTCTATCTATAGTGAGTCATAGTTACTCCCCGTCGTTACTGTACGGCCAGGAGTAACTATGATTAGCTACTGGCGCATGCGCTACGCTGTGTAATACTTCTTTTAGCCATCAATCGAAAAATAAAAGAGTACCAAAAGCATGAAAAACCGGTTGGGAGTAACTATGACTCACTTACGGCACTTATTTCAAATCAAATTTTAAACAAATAACAAGAGTCGACTGAATGTCGCTTTAACGAGAAATTATCGTTTTATTCCGGCCGTCTGTAAGGATTTTTAATTATCTTTCTTTTGATGTCGTCGGGATTAAACGACAATTTAACATTATTTTGATGATTTCCCTTGTGACGCCCCGACAAAAAAGGTTCGCACAGGCGTGTGTCCTTTTCAGTAATTTCTTTGAACATAAATTTCCTTTGTTGAATTTTTGATAGTGCAGCAGGTCATGATTAAAATTTGCAATTATCTGTCCAATTTGGTCTCGAATTAGATTCTCGTAGCTGTGAAACCGTGTACATTTTCACAATTCGGGATTCTAAGTTCGCGATCGATGGCGTGACTAACTGCCATGCTTGTCCATTAGCTGGAAATTGCAAGCGAAACGCATTATTATAGTTTTAAAAATCATTTTATCCGACGAATAAGGACATTATAACGGTGGATGGAATTGGTTGTGGCTGATAAAATCGCAAAAAATTACAACACAGAAACGATTTAAATCAATTTTTGGGTGTTGCGGGTGTGCGTAAGAACACTGGAAAAAATGTAATAATAGTTGACGTTAACGAATGTGTTTATAATGAAAAAATAACACAACAAACGTTGCAACAAATGAAATATCGTATCACGTGACGTGCCGTCCATTAAATACAATTTAAATATCTTAATTGGTTTAAATTTCATTAACTTTATCGGCCTATGTCCGTGCAAGATTAATAAAATGGGTTTCGGTGGGGCGACTAATAATAAACTTATGAACGGAAAACGGAACCATTTTGACATTTGAAATATGAATGATGAAGTTCCGTTTTTGTTTAGTAAACGGCCAGTGTGAACTCTCAATAATTAAAACAGTAAAGTTAGGTATCCTAATTTTAGATTTAAATTAAACTTGCATCATTAATCAATTTGGGGCTTAATTATGCATCAAGTTAAAAGTCGTATTACTACGGGCGTAAAAAATTATTAAAAAGGGTGAATAAAGTCTATAGCCGGAATAATGCGGCCTAAAATTAATATCGATCGCGCATAATGATACGATACCTTTCTTTAAATCGTATTTTTTCAACTATAATGGTGTCTGCAGTCGTGTAAACATACCCAAATGAAAAGCTTTTAGGATAATAGCACACATCCATTTCAGGCAACACAAAGTGTCAGGTATTATCGTCATTCTAACGATTTATAAACACCATATTGTAGATTTTTCCTGCTTTGGTTTGAAACGTAAATAAGTTATCATTCGTCCTAATTGAAGAGAAAAACAAGCGCGCCCAGATCCTCCACACGGATTTTTCCGACTTTATTTGGTCCGCTCGGGATAAATTGGAATAAGGGAAAAAGTTCGTTTCCTATTACAAATAAAAGCACCTATACGATATTTCCATGGAAATGTGATCATAGACGTTCTTTGATCTTTAATAATTGACCCGAACCTCGAAACGAGAAATAACAAGAAACGAAATCGAAAACGATGCCAAGCTTTACACTTATAAATCGTAATTGTAGGGTGCAAAACGGTGGGTGTTGACGTTATTGACTCTGGCATTTTTACTGAAATAGCCGGCCAGTGACCAACGACATTTCTACAAACGCGTAGGATGATTTATTTGATTTTTATGGAAGAATTAAAGCTGTGCTTTTACGCGAAAAAATACCCCACTCGATTCTGTGACGAACGAAAAAAGCAGGTAGATGAGTCCTTTAAAACGGATAAAAGAGGGATGTAATAAGATAAAAAGCCTTTATAAAGAGTTTTCTTTAAATTTCAATGAATGCTGGTTTTTCGGGAGAATTGTGCACCGGATGAATAGTAAGAAATGAGGATTTTACTTATACTTACTAATTTGTACAAACAAAATTTCGTTCCGGGTTTAATGATTTACTTCGCAAAAAGGAGACAAATTAACGCACAAGAGTCATAGTTACTCCTGGCCGTATGTCGTACGGCTAGGAGTAACTATGACTCGATTATGGCAAATGCGCTATGATGGGGCCACTCAAGAAAAACCAACGATCTAATTGGTAGTGCCAACAAGGACAAATGGGAGTAACTATGACTCTCTTATGGCAGATTGTTCTAAGAAAAATTGTTCACTATCGTTATCCAGCGCTTAATTAACACAGGTGTGTAAATAATTTTGGTGCTTCGAAAATAATAATCCATGTTTTGGTTCAAACTACGAACAAATTTATAATAGCTTCAACGGAATAATAAACAATGCATAAATAACGTCAACAATGAACATAAATTACAAAACTTTATGTTGATGCTGAAGTGCGCATAATATCAAAATGAGATTACCGATTCTGAATACAGATGAGAGGATGTACAGGGTGTCTTATCAATTACGCCGAAAGAGTACATGTGGAGTTTATTTAGGGTTAATGAAGTCGACTCTTTAATGGACGTTTTGTTAAAGAAGCTATCAAATTACCTCAGTGGATTTAAGTTTAAACAGCAACTTGAGCAAACATTAAAAACTGGGTATTTGGCACCTCCTCGCTCTGTTACCTCGTTCCATCAAAGCGAAACCGCTTATTTAACTTGCCTAACATCAAGTAACAAGTTACCAACTCTCTATCTTAAAAAGTTTTGTTTAAACTTTAAGCCCAAGTTATGTTGTTCTGTTCAGTGCAAATATTGAATGGGTAATGTGTAAAGGGTGTTCGAGTCGAACTTTGTTATTTACAACAAACTTTTCTCCAAGGATTGTTGTGTGAGTTGGCGTTGTTAAAGAAACACCGTTTTTGTTTAGCACAGATTCAATTTAAATTTAAAACGACGCAAAAAATGCGATTTATTTCGTTCGGATAATTTATTCACGATGGTGATACCAATGAAAACAAAAAATGCGGCGAAGATACAATTCAATTTTAATAATAAATCAGTTTTGTCTTGGATAACAAAGGGAACTGGGAACTAACTTCATCAGGAAACGGGAAATAAAAGCAAGAATAATATTCGTTTTAGAGTTTTCGAGTTTTTATGCGAGTCGTTCAAACTGTAACCCCTTAAATTGGGGCAAAAAGCAATTACTTAAAAATGTTAATAAAATATGTGTTCACTCGAAAACGCTGCATCATTTTACAAAGTTAGGCGAATTACAGGTACGTTGAGCGAAGCTTCAAACTCAGCCAGAAACGACTAAAAATACCTTTCATTTCAAAGCTTTATAAGAAATTAATTCCATTAATTCCACCACTAAGCGCAGAGCTGTCGTTTTATTTTCATTTCAGGTTTCATATTGTGTACGGCCGTAATAATTTCTACATGTTCATTGTGGAAACTAATTACTGTAATAATAATGAAGCTGCAAGCCTGCGAGGATCTTGCATGTAACCTCGCGGAATTATGGCCCAAATCTAATACCATTATTAAGGAAATTCAACACAATTTGTTAATTGTAAATTATTGTTTCTATTCAGCGGGAAAACACGGCTTTGGGGCGAACTGCGACCTTAATTTACGGACGGATTAAACTTCGCCTCAAAAATTTATTTAACAAAATTATTAATAACCACGTAATGACTTTAATCGGGGATTATTTGCTAAGGAAACAATAACTTCGGTAATGTTTCCTGTACACAAGTCTCGATTAAAATTAATGGAAGTTGACCGACGTGGTATTTAGCATCGATTGACGAAAAAATCAAATTGATAAACACCGCGACCGTTAGAAGCTTTATCACCCACTGAGCGAAAAAACCGTCGCTATTGAACGCTTTTCCAAGATCTGTGTCGCCGGTTTTCGATTTTGACGTTTCATTTGAATGTTGAAGGAACCGTGCCAAGACTTATGAAAAGTCGATAATCTGAAGATTCCTGTTTTTAAAAATAAATGTCTGCGTTCTGTTCTAAATTCCAGCGAACAAAGTCGGCGAAATATGCGTACAAACCCCCTGTAAATTATATGAAAGTAGAATATCTTGAAAGTAAAGTAACAAGAGAATGACGTTTTAAATGACAACCTTTTTTTAGGATGTCGTAAAATACCTTTAACCCACCATAAAATTCCAGCCGGTTCCTCCACTAAAATTTCATGTCAGCAACAACTTAAAGACATTGGCGCATCAGTTTTTATAAATTTTAAAGAAAAGTTATAAAAGCAATGATGTTAAAAGCGGCCGTCACAAAATTACGATGCCGCTAAAGATTTTCGGAATAAACCAAGCGGAGAGTAATAAGTTCTCATCAAGCTTAAAGATTCTCGTCAAAGGAATGCCTCTTATTTTTTCAATAAAATTCTCCCAGCTGACTTTTACCGTTTAAAGAAACTTTCACTCCCCAAAGGCTCCTTGTTTGCTTAATATTTTATCAATTCTCATCGTATTTGATTAAGCAATTTACGAGACACGCGCATTTGAGCGAAAGCAATGTTAGAATCACCGATGGGCCAAAAACCGATACATTACGACGTTTTCATATTTTATCCGCTTTATGGCCGGAAGTGGGTCACCAATTCTAAAAATACAAAATGCATTTTGGAAATTTTTTCAAAAATCGATAGGCGAAAATGCAGTTGTCGTCTTTGTGGTTTTACGACGAAATCAAATTGAAAGCTCTGATTTATGTAGTTGTCCATTTCTCATTTCGGGGTTTTATGGTCCGGAGTCGGACACTAAGCCTCGTGTCTGATATTTCGTATCGGAAATGTGTCACTGCTGGAGCTGGCAAAGCTCGATAAAAATGTTTTTAGATTAGGTACCAGCGGCAAGCTTTCGGAGGGGACGTTGCGGGTGCTACGTTCTAAGCAATTACCTGTATGAAAGCATGATCACCTATTTTCGAATTTCTTGTTTAAGACCTTCCTGTGCCTCGTGATGAGCAAAATGGATCGCATTTCGTCCGAGATGATTTATTCGCGTAGGACCGAACGGGCTTCAAGTGCTAGTGTTGGAGAACCTTAATCAATATTTCCACTCTGGGTCCTACTTTATCATCATCGAACAAAAATTCCGCACGATCCACGTCACTTCACTTCAACAAAACACAAAATCGAAAGCTCTGCATCGGCAAGTTCGCCACGGCAGCATTTTCTCTGTGCTGTGCTCGGAAAATAGCAGGAAAAATGTCGACGCGCGCTTGAAAACCGCAAAACAGCTTAAATTAACGTGAATTATCGACTCTTGCGATCTTGGACGGTTTAACGAAGCAAACTAACACTTATGACGATCTAATCAACTGCTAATTAGTTAATAATTAAGTGAAATGCGTTTAAAACGGCTTGATTTAAATTTAGAGCAGCCCCGACGGCTAGTATACTACGGCCCCCTCCCTACTCGAGCTTTGCCGAAAGCTCCCGGACGCGCGCGAAAGCTCCCGTTAAATTATCCTGATGCGCGATTTTACATCAGGATCGCCGAAAAAAACACGAGCCTGCGACCGGATTTCGACAGGGACGTCGTCGTGGGGTTATCTTCGGTTGGAGCAACGAGAGGAAGTTGATAAAATTATGAACGCCGACGACTTAACACGAGAATTATTATTTACAGGGGCGGGACAATCCTGCAACCTCAACATTGAATCGTTTTTATCACTGAAACTTTCACACTACAATTGGAGTTATTTTATTTACTGAAATTTTATTAAAGTAGAGTCGATCAAATAGTGAACATTGATTTTCTATCTATCGGAAGCCACCAATAAAGCGTTTAGGATTATGGCGATAATAAATTGATAGCTCGGTATGAAACTTTTGTGGGTAAAAAAAGAAATTATTATTCATTTTTGTTGCACAAAATGAAACTGTTTTAAGGATGTACTTTTTGGTTTTTATTTGTTCACAGAAATGTTTGAAAAAATTTATTTGGGACAATAGAGACGTCAGGTCAGGTCAGGTCAGGTCAAGTCAAGTCAAGTCAAGTCACGTCAGGTCAGGTCAGGTCAGGTCAGGTCAGAACTTCAGTGTTCACCATTTGGCAGACTCTGCTTTTACGCAGGAATTAATTTACTCCGAAAAAAAGTGCACAAAGTCCAAAATTTAAATCAAATTCACCGAAAATACATGAAAGTACATTGCAACAGCATTTTAAAATGGGCTTATCTGTCAACTTCAACACTTTCTCAACACCAGCCATCTTTGAAAGTTGAATAAAAATTTTTCATCAAACAATTAATTGTTAAGAAGTTGTCATACATTAGCATAATACCAGTCGAATTTCCCTTAGAGAAAAAATTCATATAAAATAAAAGTCGGAACTTCTAGAATGCAAAAAACATACTGAAAGAATTATTTTCTTACCGACAAACATTCTGTTATAATAGAGTCCGCCAAATACTGAACAATCAATGTTTTCAGATTCTGTACGAATCTTTCAGATTCCCTCAGATTCTCTCAAATTTTTCAGTTCTATTCAGATTATTTCAGATTCTTACAGATTCTTTCAGGTGCTTGCAGACTCTTCGATCTTCGTCCAGGATCGTTCAGATTTTTCTAGATTTTTCTAGATTCCTAGAGGTTCTTCGAGATAGTCTCAGACTCTCCACAGATACTCATAGGTTTCCTCAGATTCTCTTAGATTTCTTCAGATTTTCGCTCAGATTCTTTCCAAATCTCTTAGATTCTGTCCGAATCTCCCAATTTCTCTCATATTCTCTCAAATTCCTTCAAGTTCTCTCAGATTATTTCTGATTCTTTCAGATTCTCTCAGATTCGCTCAGGTTTTCTCAGATCCTCTCAGATTCCCCCAAATTTTCTCAGATTCTTTCAGATTCTTTCAAATTCTTTCAGATTCAGATTCTTTCAGATTTTTTCAAATTCTTCCAGATTCCCTCAGATTTTCTCAAATTCTTTCAGATTATCTAGATTCCTTCCGAATCGGTCAGAATCTCTGAGATTCTCTCAGATTGTCTCAGATTTTTTCAAACTCCTTCAGATTCTTTCAGATTCTCTCAGATTTGCTCAGTTTCTCTCAGAATCGATCAGTTTCGCCCAGATTTTCTCGGATTCCCTATATTCTCCCATATTCTCTCCGATTCTTTCAAACTTTTTCAGACTTTTTCTAAGACACCATAAGGAGCCCTCATGATTCATTCAATTTTTTCAGTTCTATTCAGGTTCTCTCGAATTCTTTCAGATTCTCTCAAATTCTTTCAGTTTCTCTCAGATTCTTTCATATTCTTTCAGAATCTATCAGAATCTTTCAGATTCTCTCAGATACTCCCAGAGTCTCTCAGATCCTCTCAAATTCTCTCAGATTCTATCAGATTCTTTCAAATTCTTTCAGATTCGCTCAGATTTTTTCAGATTCTTTCAGATTATCCAAATTCCTTCAGATTCTTTCAGATTCGCTCAGTTTCTCCCAGATTCTCCCGGATCCCCCATATTCTCCCAGATTCTCTCATGTTCTCTCAGATTCTTTCAAACTATTTCAGACTTTTTCTAAGATACCATAAGGAGTCCTCGTGAATCATTCAATTTTTTCAGTTCTATTCAGATTGTCTCAAATTCTTTCAGATTCTCTCAGATTCTTTCAGATTCTCTCAGATTATCTAGGTTCCTTCAGATTTTTTCCGAAACGGTCAGAATCTCTGAGATTCTCTCTCAGATTCTCTCAGTTCCCCTCAGATTGTTTCAGATTTCTTCAGATTCTTTTCGAATCTGTCAGATTCTTTCAGATTCTCTGAGATTCTCCCAGAGTCCCTCAGATTCTCTGAAATTCTCTGAGATTCTTTCAGATTTTTCCAGATTTTCTCAGATGCTCTCAGATTGTCTCAGAATCGCTCAATTTCTCCCAGATTATTCTTGATTTCCCCACATTCTCCCAGATTCTCTCAGATTCGTTCAGTTTCTCTCAGATTCTCTCAGATTCTCCCAGATTCTGTCAGGTTCTTTCAGATTCTTACAAATTCTTTCAGGTTCAGATTTTTTAAGATTTTTTCAGATTCTCTCAGATTCTCCCAAATTCCCTCAGGCTTTTGCAAATTCTTTCAGATTATCTAGATTCCTTCAGATTATTTCCGAATCTGTCAAAATCTCTCAGATTCTCTCAGATTCGCTCAGATTGTCTCAGATGTTTTCAGATTTCTTCCGATCCTTTCATCTTCTCTCAGATTCGCTCAGTTTCTCCCAAATTCGCTCAATTTCTCCCAGATTTTCCCAGATTCTCTCAGATTCTTTCAAACTTTTTCAGACTTTTTCTAAGACACCATGAGGAGCCCTCATAATTCATTCAATTTTTTCAGTTCTGTTCAGATTCTCTCAAATTCTTTCAGATTCTCTCAGATTCTCACAGATTCATTCAGATTATCTAGATTCCTTCAGATTATTTCCGAATCGGTCAGAATCTTCTCAGATCTCCTCAGACTCTCATATTTTTTCAGATTTCTTTAGATTCTTTCAGATTCTCTCACATTTTCCCAGAGTCTCTCAAATTCTCTCAGATTCTTTCAGATTCTTCCAGATTCTCTCAGATTCCCTCGGATTGTGTCAAATTCGCTCAATTTCTCCCAGATTCTCCCGGATTCCCCCATATGTTTCCAGATTCTCTCAGATTCTTTCAAACTTTTTTCAGACTTTTTTAAGGAGCCCTCATGATTCATTCAAATTTCTCAGTTTTATTCAGATTCTCTCACATTCTTTCAAATTCTTTCAGATTCTCTCAGATTTTTTCCGATTCTTTCAGACACTGATAGATCCTTTCAAATGTCTGCAGACTCTTCCGAATCCTTCCAGAATCTTCCAGATTTTTCTAGATTCTGTCAGATTCTCTCAGTTTCTCTCAGATTTTCTCAGATTCTCCTAGATCCTTTCATATTTTCTTAGGTTCTCTGTGATTTTTTTTAGATTCTTTCAGTTTCGTTCAGATTCTTTCAAATTCTCTCAGATCGACTCACATTGTCTCAGATTTCTTCAAATTCTGTCCTAATCTCTTATAACCTCTTAAATTATTTCCAATTCTCTCACATTCTCTCAGATTTTCACAGATTCTCTCAAATCCTTTCAGATTCTCTCCGATTCTTCCAAATTTTCTCAGGTTCTTTCAGATTCTTTCAAATTTTTTCAGATTCTGTCAGATTCTCCCAGATTCCTTCAGATTCTTTCCGAATTGGTCAGAATCTCTGAGATTCTCGCAGATCCGCTCAGATTTTTTCAGATTCCTTCAGATTCTTTTCGAATCTCTCAAAATACACCAGATTCTTTCAGAGATTCGCTCAGTTTCTCCCAGATTCTTCCAGATTCCCCCATATTCTTCCAGATTCTCCCAAAATCTCTCAGATTCTTTCAAACTTTTTCAGACTTTTTCTAAGTCACCATGAGGAGCTCTCATGATTCATTCAAATTTTTCAGTTCTATTCAGATTCTCTCAGATTCGCTCAAATTACTTCAAATTCTTCCAGATTCTTTCAGATACTTACAGATCCTTTCAGGTGCCTGCAGACTCTTTCATATTCTTCCAGAATCTTCCAGATTTTTCTAAATTCTTCTAAATTTCTAGAGGTTCTTTGAGACACTCTCAGATTGTCACAGGTGCCCTCAGATTCTCTCAGATTCTTTCGGATTCTCTTAGTTTCACTCAGATTCTCTCAGATTCTCCCAAATTCTTTCGGATTCTCTTAGGGTCTCTGCGATTCTTTCGGTTTCGTTCAGATTTTTTCAGATTCTCTGAGATCGCCTCACAAATTCTTTACTGATCTCTTAGAATCTATCAAATTCTTTCAGATTCTCTCACATTCTCTCAGATTCTCTCAAATTCTCTCAAATTCTTTCAGATTCTCTCAAATTCTCCCAGATGCATTCAGATTATCTAGATTCCTTCAGATTCTTTCCGAATCGGTCAGAATCTTCTCAGATCTCCTCAGACTGTCTCAGGTTTTTTCAGATTTCTTCAGATTCTTTCAGATCCTCTCAGATTTTCCCAGAGTCTCTCAAATTCTTTCAGATTCTTTCAGATTCTTTCAGATTCTTCCAGATTCTCTCAGATTCCCTCGGATTGTGTCAGATTTGCTCAATTTCTCCCAGATTTTCCAGATCCTCTCAGATTCTTTCAAACTTTTTCAGACTTTTTTTAATGAGCCCTCATGATTCATTCAAATTTCTCAGTTCTATTCAGATTCTCTCAGATTCTCTCAAATTCTTTCAGACTCTCTCAGATTTTTTCCGATTCTTTCAGACACTGACAGATCATTTCAAATGTCTGCAGACTCTTCCGGATCCTTCCAGAATCTTCCAGATTTTTCTAGATTCCTAGAGGTTCTTTGAGACATTCTTAGATTCTCACAAGAGCCTCAGATTTCTTCAGATTCTTTCAGATTCTATCAGATTCTCTCAGATTTTCTCAGATTCTCCCAGATTCTTTCAGATTTTCTTAGGTTCTCTGCGATTTTTTCAGATTCTTTCAGTTTCGTTCAGATTCTTCCAAATTCTCTCAGATCGACTCACATTGCCTCATATTTTTTCAGATTTCTTCAAATTCTTTCCTAATCTCTTAGAATCTCTTAAATCCTTTCCGATTCTCTCACATTCTCTCAGATTCTCTCAAATCCTTTCAGATTTTCGCAGATTCTCTCAGATTCTTCCAAATTTTCTCAGGTTCTTTCAGGTTTTTTCAAATTCTTTCAGATTGAGATTCTTTAAGATTCTCAGATTCTTTCAGATTTTTTCAGATTCTCTCAGATTCTCCCAGATTCCTTAAGTTTCTTTCCGAATTGGTCAAATTCTCTCAGATTCTCTCAGATTGTTTCAAACTTTTTCAGACTTTTTCTAAGTCACCATGAAGAACTCTCATGATTCATTCAAATTTTTCAGTTCTATTCAGATTCGCTCAAATTATTTCAGATTCTTCCAGATTCCCTCAGATTCTTCGAGATTCTTTCAGATACTTACAGATCCTTACAGATCCTTTCAGGTGCCTGCAGACTGTTTCATATTCTTCCAGAATCTTCCAGATTTTTCTAGATTCTTTTAGATTCCTAGAGGTTGTTTGAGACACTCTCAGATTCTCACGAGTGCCCTGAGATCCTCTCACATTCTTTCGGATTCTCTCAGTTTCATTCAGATTCTCTCACATTCTCTCAGATTCTCTCACATTCTCTCAGATTCTCTCAAATTCTCACAGATTCTCTCAAATTTTTTCAGATTCTCTCACATTCTCTCAGATTCTCTCACATTCTCTCAGATTCTCTCAAATTCTCACAGATTCTCTCAAATTCTTTCAGATTCTTTCTGTTTATTGGAAGCCACCAGTAATCCGCTTAACCGATAATAACTTACAGCCGTGACCTTTTCTCCCATTGCTTGCCTGAAAGAAACAAAGGTGTTATGAATCAGATTCTCTGAAAATTTTGTTTAAAAAAAAGTAGTGAAAGTGCTCATAAATCAGAAAAAACCGAAGTGACACACTTTTGATATTCCTGGAACGTTTCAGCAAACAGTTTCCTCCCCCTGAATTTCCAATTGGACCCATCCGGTCAAATCAACTCAGATCAAGTCAGCTCTGGTTAGATGCAATTTAGGCCATACTTTTCAATAAAGATGTGTTTGATAATAATTTTGTGGTGAAGATATATATTATAGTAATTTTAATAGATGTAATATGGAAGATAAAATCGGACTTATGTTTTTATATAGAACTTCCCTCGCCCATAACATAGACCATTCACATTGTAAGAAAAAAAGTGGCCTATGAAGAAATCGAACTCGTGACCTTCGCTTTAATAAAGGACGCTCCAAGTGAACGATGGGACCGTTGCTCAGCATTCGTTTTATTTTCTAGAAACTCGATGAGTATAGTTATAATGTATAAAACAAACTTATAATAATGAAAAATTTTATTAACCATTTACTAGGCTTAAAACATTCGCAAGATTTCACAGCATTTGGTTTTGCTTTTATAATTGCAACCTTTTTTTCACTTTTAAGCCTGGTATGATGTCCTTCGCAAAGTGTTTCCACTCTAGGAAGAGCCTTCGAGTCCCCTGCGCAATGACTCTATAATGTACGCAATGAACCCAAACTAGAAGATCCTTAATGAGGATTTTCCAGTATCTTGTTCCTTGCGAAAGTCTTTCATCTTTCTCCAGAAGTCCTTCTAGATTTGAACTCTTTTCGGGACCCTATTCTGGAGTTCTCAACCTCCTGAGATAAAAATTTTCAAATCTAATACGAACAAAAAACCACAAAAATTGTAGACGTTAAAAGTGTTTAAATCCTCTACGCCCCTGGATTTCAATACGCAAAATTTTCCCCTAGAACTCTGTCAACGTGAAAATTAACGTAATTACGAATCTGAAAAGGATCATGAGAGCAAATAAATTTTTTATCAGACGTCCATTTTGGTTAATTTGCATTTCATTTAGAGAATTATTTACAACGGAATAAGAAGGGAGATCGTTTTTATTAATATGTACGCCACGTGTAAACACGGTATGACCTTATTTTTAGACTTGCATTATGTATAAGCACTTCTGTTATCGTTCGGCCAAGAAAAACCGAATCGGAAAGTAATTACTCGAAGCGAAACGACGATTGATACTCGATACGTTTTTTTAACGATGAACGGGGGTTGAATGCACATATATAAATAATGAAGCGTATTTATACATTCGAAGACTGCTTGTTACCCAAGAATATTCATGTTTTGTTCTAAGCTACGTGAAATTACAAAACTTGACTCTATATTTTTATAGCCGCCCTCCGATAATACATTATGTTAGCGAGCGAAGGCGAGAATACAAAAATATCACAACCCCACTCCGATATCGCTAAAAATATGTAGACAAAAAACGAAATTAAAAGCTCCGAAAGCTCCTCACGCAATCTTTACCCTAACGTGACAACGGTGCGCTCTATCTGAATGCGTGTTTAAAGGAATGTAATTATCAATTTCACAAGAGAATTGTTGTCATATCTCCCGTATTCCACTAACTATTATCATCTTGATGCGCAAACAGGGGGATTAAAGTTTACAAAATTTGCTGTCAGTACATTGTGTTGATGAGAATAAGGTGTAATGAGAAGTAACACCGCTAGGATAGTGGAAATTGTAATTATATGGAGTGTTGTATCGATTCGTGTATATCACCCGATAAGAGCGGAGTATGGTTTCCCCCAATTATCAGATAATAAGCATTAATTTAATGATAATTTTGGTGAGAGCTGGATCCATTATTTACGGATAGTCACTGCGAGGGAATAACATTTGTCAAGGACCAAAATTATTTCCGCTGCTTTTTCCACTTTTTATTCATGATGCACTAAACTTGTTAAATCGCGAAATCTGTGACTAATTTTTTTTATTTAGCCCAAAAAAGAACTAATCGTTTTGCTAACGTATTTTGTTATTTTAAACGTCTATTTAAAGGTCCTATTTCAGTTCTGCGAAACTCATAAATTGGATGTTATCTTTAACACACCGCTACATTTTTGGAGTCGAAGAAATTATAAAAATGGTGATTTTATGGATATGGTTGCTTTGCTTTATTTATTAGTTGTATCAGGTTCACTCTTGTTTACAACTGTGCGTGTTAGTGTGTAATTTTTGATAAACTATTTGATACACTATTTAAGAAACTAAATATTGCTTTATTTAGATTTTAATTTACTATACACGAAAATAGCTGGTAGTTGAGTGTCCTCCACGTTGGCAATGTTCGAGCAAAATTTAAATTGACTCATCTTGGTGTTGATAAGAGAGATAAGATAATTAATAATTGTTTTGTTAACTTTTAAGTTTTTAGTATCGAGCTACGATTATGCTGTGACTAATATGACGTGTCACCACTGTCATATTGCCACCAAAACAATCAGTTAAAAATGACGCTTTTAATTTATTCTGTACTTTAAAAAACAACGTTATCAATTTGTTTCTATTTGCATGTTTTCTCAATTCTGTTACGTTACGAAATAAAATTCTGCAAAAACTCGAGTTGTTGAACTTTGTCTTGTTTTGTTATTTTTTGTCCACTTACATAAGCCAAAAAACAATAAAAACAAATAGTTATAAATAAATAAATTTAAATGTTTAAAGGGACCAATAAAATATGGCGACCGGTCCTTAGCCGACCAATGACAATCAAGTCGATTCTAGAAGTAAACAACATGTCGTTGGTGGTGTCAGACGATGAAAGTTCTGAAGATTCTTTTTCAGATTTATCCCAATTTTCGGTACCCAGGGAAGAAACCACTCGTGATGAAACCAAAAGTGATAACTTTAAATTGTACCATTGTTACAAAACCACCAACATAGCAAATAATGTAATAAATAGACAAGTAAGTTGCCGAACATAACCTCAAACATCACGTCTGCAACAACATTTGAAAATATTTTTCTAGATGTATGGGAGGTTTACAAAGAATCCTAAAGCAAAGACTGAAAGAATATTTAACAATATACACCATAAATGTAGGTTTGGCCTAAGCTCCCTTCTCAAAGACTACGAAACGATGTAAAGGGTTTTTCGTGTTTTGATTTTTTTATATTGATGGTGTGCTTCCAGGAACCACATTTTTATGGGGTTTACTTTGTGCGGACAGTATTTTATAAGTTTTACAGAACGAACGTTCGAACTCCTATTCCCTTATAATTTTAACGCCTCTTATGAGTATGAGTTGCATTTGTGGAGATTCGTACCTGGTGAAAAGTTGAAGTATATTTCCAAACATCGAATTTTTAAGCATCTGAGAGGTTTACAATTGCTGGACAAAGTAATGTTTATGCAGTTTCCTATGGATCCACACAAAATACTGTGCTATGGCTTGGCGTGAGTTGAGTACAATTTTTGTATTTTTTAATGTGTGATTTTTCATCCAGTGCTACAAATCCAGCTATGGTATATATTACCATCATCACATTACCATTCCCAAAGAGCTGCAAACATTGCCACAGGAATTTGCCTCAAGATGGTACCTATCAGATTTTATTTGTACCATTGTAGATTTTGTCTTTGTAGAGTCTGTAAGTCAGGGATGGTGCGTAAAGCACGGCTTCGTCCTCCATTACATGTTCTCCATGGGCCAACCTTGCCCCAGCTTCGACCCCCACATTTCCCTAGCGTATCCCGACCACCTAGTAATAAACACCGGTCACTACATTCACGTTTTAAATGTAACAACTCTAGATCCGCCTCAAACCACTGTAAATTCGTCTAGTTTTGTAAAGTACGACGACGCAAAGTTGCCGCAGTCGGTGTCAAGTAATTTTAACGATACATTTAGCGAAGTGTCCGAATCGCCGAGTGAATATTTCGGAACAAATAGCGTCGTAGATGCCATATTAGAAGACTTTAACGAGTACGACTTAGAAGGTAACGAATGTAATAAACCCTTCCACGAGTTAAACATTAGCTGCGAACCGCTTAACGTCACCGGTAAAAGCTACCACAACACTCTAGTTCAAAACATAGTCGATCCCCGGTTCAAGCGCCTCCAGAATACGAGCAAAGATTATTTATTTTCAGTTCCTCAAAGCTCGGGCGTGCAGAAACCCGCCGAAAAAAACAAAATCGACAAGAAAATCGCCGAGAAAGCGTACGAGTTCATCGAAGAAAACGAGAAATGCGAGAAGCTAAGCTCGTTCCGGAAAAAGCGGCTCGCGGAGAAAAAGTACGAGTTTTCCGAAGACAATAGCGAGAATATCGTTCCGTTCAATTCGTTGCGGCGGGAGCGGAGGTATCTTTATCGTTCGCAGAATCGGTGTATTCGTTCGCCCGATTTCAATAGTCTGTTTTTAAGCCCGCGCTCCCCCATGCAGTCTCCGAACTCCCGAAACGGGCAGTTCTCGCCGGGGGGAGCCCGGAATTTGTATTGTCCTTCCATTCGTAACTCCCCACATCATTCCAAGTCTCCTATCAGTCCCAAAGAGTCGGCGAGGAAGCTGTATGTGTACTCCCCGAGTCTGGACAGCGACTGCTCGGACTCGGACTCCAGACTCATTCTGAGGATGCCCGGGAACTTATCTACCTCACAGTCGGTCGACAGCCGGTCTAGTCAACAGAGCGGGCTGTTGATCGTCGACCCGAAGACGGAAACGCCTAGGTGGATCAAGAAGGTCGTGAGAAGGTACTCCAACGGAGACTTCGAAAACAGCTCGCTGTTGTCAGGACAGAGCAGAGGTATTAAATGCGTTGATTTATCCCCTCCAAGAAATTGATGACGTCATGTGGTTAATATTTTCCAGACGATTACAATATCCCCATTGAAATCCCCCTACTAGTACACACGTTAACTGATCAACATTTGGACGTAGTTCCTGACTTTAAAGTAGACCAAGTGACTGAAATGCAGTTAATCGTGACCCAGAGAACTTTTGACTGTGAACAATTTGTCCAAAGAAGAGCTCAAAAGCTCTGCAATGAATCCCAACTAGAATATCTTCACTGTCAGGATTATGATATCAAACTGAATTATGTAAGATAAAGTACCGTGTTGGTTGGTGTCATAGTTGATTGTCAAATTTCAGATTTGTCCATTGGATGGGCACATTGTGTGTCAAGCTGTGATTAAAATGGGTACTCTCAAATCAATAGATCCTTGCGGAAAACCTGAAAACTACACCACGCACTGCTTAGTCGTTTGGAACATAGCGACAGACAGCTTTGAAGTGATCGAACCGCCTGATGATATTAAACTGCAACCTACTGAAAAATACCAAGTTTTGCCTCATATTGATATTCCAAGAGCTCACTGTAACGGAGTTCTTGTTATGGATTACTGTTATTCAAAAACGAAAACAAGTCTCAGGGATTTTAATAACTATTATGAAGTTTGTTTGAATTCAGATTGTATATCTGTTAGGTCGTCGGATGACAGTTTCAGTGATAGCGAGTAAGTTGTACATATTTTCAAGTATTTTAGTTTTCAGATGTGCTCATGCATTTGGTGTAAATTTCAGTATATGAAACATTTTAACGTTATTTTGAAATGTCTCGATACATTTGACTCAGACTCGATCAGCCGTGTGAATGTATTGTAAGTTTTAAGCAGTAATAAGTTAAACTGTGATTTTGATGTTGTGAAGTTAAAATAAAACTATTTATAAATATGGGGTTCGTTATTGAAATTGGCACGTGACGTGACGTCACCTACCAGGGGCGGCTGGTGCCCGGGGACACAAGGGCACGTTTTTTCATTTTATAAACTCCTTTGCTAAGTTGCTGTTGATTTTAAGTTACTACTAAAATTTACCATTTTAGACGTTTTCAGTTTCTTGTTGTCGAAATAAGTCTGCACATATTAAGAAAAAAGGGCAAAATGGAGCCCCGCCCACCCGCCCTATCTCAATTGTGATGATTTTTTTTATTCGTCGTGAGCCAAGAGGGCGGAACTTAACTACAAAATCCTTATTTCTCTACGAGAAATAAAATGTTTTTGAGTATTGTGTTGTTCAAAGAATACCATATATATTAAGAAAAATAAAGGCAAACATTAGGCCCCACCCATACCCGCCCTAATCTCAATTCTCAATTGTGATGAGTTTTTCATTCGTTGTCAGATCGAGGGGCGAGGCCTAGTTGCAAATAGATCCATATTTTTCTAAAAGAATTTATCATTTTAAACATGTTTTAAATTTCTTGTTTTGAAATGACTACGATATTGACAAAACAGGCAAAATATGAGCCCCGCCCGCCCACCCGATCTGATGGTTTTTTTTATTCGTCGTGAGTCAAGAGGGAGGAGCTTCACTGCAAAGAACTTATTATTCTACGAGAAATTAAAAACATGTCATATTGTTATCTTTAAGTGAAGAATTTTTCATTCCTTGTCAAATAGAGAGGCGGAGCTTAATTCCAAGATCCATATTTTTTTAAGAATTTGCTATTTTTAAACATGTTTAAAGTCTCTTGTTCTGAAAAGACGACCACGTGTACTAAGAAAAAAGGCGAAATATAAGCTCCGCCCACCCACCCTATCTCAAGTGTAATGTTTTTTTTTAATCGTCGAGAGCCAAAGGAGCGGAATTAAATTGGAAAATCTTTATTATCTCTGCAAGAAATTACCATGTAAAACATGTTTTTGAATATTATGTTGTTCAAAGAATACTATGTATATTAAGAAAAAATTAAAACCAAAGATTAAGCCCCGCCTTGATCTAAATAGTAATGAAATTTTCATTTGTTGGTAAACCTAGGGGCGGAGCCTAATTGCAAAATCCGTATTTCGTTACAAAAATTTACCATTTTAAACGTGTTTGAAGTCTCTAAGAATTATTAAAAAAATCATCACAGTTGAAATGGGGTGGGTGGGCGGGGTATGTATTGTGCCTTTTTTTTCTTAATAGTATTCTTTGAACAACACGATACTCAAAAATATATTTAATTTTTTGTAAAGAAATAAGTATTTTGCAGTTAAGCTTCTCCCCCTTGATTCACGGCGAATAAAAAAAATCATCACAATTGATATAGGGCGGGTGGGCGGGCATATATTCTGTCTTGTTGTTTTAATAATTGTAGACTTCTTTTCATAACATAAAACTTAAAACATATGTAAAATGGAAAATTTGTATAAGGAAACTTGGATTTTGCAATTAGGTTCCGACCCATAATTGCAAAATCAATATTTCCTTGCAAAAATGTATTTTAATCATGTTTTAAGTTTCTTGTTGTAGAAAGATGGCTATGTACCTACATTAAGAAAAAACAAGACAAAATATAAGCCCCGCCCACCCGCCCTGACTCAATTCTGATGATTTTTTTTATTTGTCGTAAGCCGAGGGGCGGAGCTTAATTGTAAAATTCTTATTTTTCTATGCGAAATTACCATGTGAAATATGTTCGTAAGTAATCGTGTTATAAAAAGAAAACCAAATGAGAAGCCCAACTCACCCATCTTGATCTCAGTGGTGATGAATTTTTCATACGTTGTCACACCGAGGACGAAGCGTAATTGCAAAATCGATATTTCCCTATACAGATTTACGATTTTAAACATATTTTAAGTTTCTTGTTGTGAAAAAATGACTACACATATTAAGAAAAAAAAAGGCAAAATGTAAGCCCCGCCCACCCACCCTATCTCAATTGTAATGAATTTTTTTATTCGTCGTGAGTCAAGAGGGCGGAGCTTCACTGCAAAGTCCTTATTTCTGTACAAAAAATAAAAAACATCTTTTTGAGTATCGTGTTGTTCAAAGAATACTATGCACAGTTGCGGCCTTCCAAAAGTACACGATAATTTTTTCTATTGTAAATGTATGTTTAAATCATGGGAGTCCGAATAACAAAGTTTGTCAAATTTGACTTTTTTTTTTCAAAAATGCTACGCCATTGGTAAAAGTCAGGCTTACATTAACTTAAAAATTCAAAAAATTCCATGACAACGAAAAATCTTGCACGTGATCGAGACTTTTTCAAACTACTTCAAAATTGAAGCAAAAGTGGTCCCCAAGATTCTTTTATACTACTTCAAAAACCAAACACAAGAGGATCCCGAGATTCTTTCGAACTACTTCAAAAAGAAGACAAAAATGGTCTCCGAGATTCTTTCAAATTACTTCAAAACCAAAACAAAAGAGATCCCCGAGATTCTTTAAACTATGTACTTCAAAAACCAGACATAAATGATCCCAACATTTTTTCAAACTACTTCAAAAATTAGACTCATAGAGTGCTTGAGATTCTTTTAAACTACTTCAAAAACTAGGCAAAAGAGTTTTCCGAGATTCTTTTCAAACTATTTCAAAACCAGAACAAGAAAAAGGTCTCAGACATTCTTTCAAATTACTTCAAAACCAAAACAAAAGATATCTCCGAGATTCTTTAAACTATGTACTTCAAAAACCAGACATAAATGATCCCCAAGATTCTTTGAAACCACTTCAAAATCAAAATAAAAGGGGTCCCCGAGATTCTTTTAAACTACTTCAAAAACCAAACACAAGACGTGATCGAGACTTTTTCAAACTACTTCAAAATTGAAGCAAAAGTGGTCCCCAAGATTCTTTTATACTACTTCAAAAACCAAACACAAGAGGATCCCGAGATTCCTTCGAACTACTTCAAAAAGAAGACAAAAATGGTCTCCGAGATTCTGTCAAACTACTTCAAAACCATAACAAAAAGGATCCCCGAGATTCTTTTAAACTAGTTCATAAATCAGACGCAAAAGGCCCCCGAGATTCTTTCAAACTACTTCAAAATCAAAACAAAAGGGGTGCCCCAGATTCTTTTAAACTACTTCAAAAACCAAACACAAGAGGTACCCGAGATTGGTTCAAACTATTTCAAAATGGGCCCCAACATTCTTTCAAACTACTTCAAAAATTAGACTCATAAAGTGCTTGAGATTCTTTTAAACTACTTGAAAAATTAGGCAAAAGAGTTTCCTGAGATTCTTTTCAAACTATTTCAAAACCAAACAAGGGTCTCCGACATACTTTCAAATTACTTCAAAACCAAAACCAAAGAGATCCCCGAGATTCTTTAAACTGTGTACTTCAAAAACCATTCGCAAAAGATCCCCGAAATTCTTTCAAACCACTTCAAAATCAAAATTAAAGGGGTCCCGGAGATTCTTTTAAACTACTTCAATAAATACAAGAGGTCCCCGAGATCCTTTCAAACTACTTCAAAATCGAAGCAAAAAAAATAAGCCCCACCCATATCCATCCCAACCTCAAATGTGATACATTTTTCATTCGCCCCGCCCACCCACCCTATCTCAGTTGTGATGATTTTTTTTTAATCGTCAAGAAGCAAAGGAACGGAATTTAATTACAAAATCCTTATTATTTCTCTAGAAGAAATTACCACGTAAGACATGTTTTTGGATATCATGTTATTCAAAGAATACTATGTATATTAAGAAAAAATTAAAGCCAAAGATTAAGTCCCACCCATACCTGCCCTGATCTAAATAGTAATGAAATCCATATTTCCTTACAAAAAAGTACCACTTTTAAACGTGTTTTAGGTTTCTAAGAATAAAAAATAATCAGAATTGAGATGGGGTCGGTGGGCGGGGTTTATATTTTGCCTTTTTTTCTGAATATACGTAATATTCTTTGAACAACACGATACTCAAAGATATGTTTTAATTTCTTGCAGTTAAGCTCCGCCCCTACCCTTGGTTCACGGCGAATAAAAAAAAATCATCATATATATAAGGCGGGGGGCGGGTTTATATTTTGCTTTTTTTGTTTTAATATGTGCAGACTTCATGTTTAAAATGGAAAATTTTGTATAAGGAATAAATGCATATTTTCTTGCCAAAATACCATTTTAATCATGTTTTTAGTTTCTAGTTGTGGAAAGATGGCTATGTATATTAAGAAAAATGATGATGATTTTTTTATTCGTCGTAAGCCAAGGAGCGGAGCTTAATTGTAAAATCCTTATTTTTCTACGAGAAATTCCGCCCCCAAAGCGGAAACCACATCATGCCTTATTTAGACGTTTTGTTTCCACCGTTGCCATGGAAACCGTGTGTCGGGTCGCTGTATTTAGCTGGAATCGGGTCTGCCAGTAACTCAGTTACGGGATTTCATTTTCATTCTGCGCGAGTGAAATTGTTTGATTTTAAATAAAAATAAAGAATTCAGTTGAATATTTAATAAAAAATCGTCCTCTGTCTTACGACGGTCAAATTTTAGTGAAAAATTTAGTAAACATCACCCCCGATTTATTATAAAAAAAGTGTCCATGTCCAAACGAGAGACTTTCATAGATATTTTAATACACATAACAAGCATGGGAAATTTTTGTGGATGTACGGTTGTAAAAAAAATAAATTGTTTTGTTGTTCAAAAGGTGACGAGCCGCCACTGTCACCTACACCATGTGTACTGTATAGTGACAGTTTAGTTTTTTTTGTTACATCAAGTTGGCGCCATAGTGATCTCCAAAAGAAAAACAATCAGTGTAATCAATTTTCGATTACACTTACTAAGGTGTAATTAATCATTTTTGTGTTACAAAATGCGATCATTGATCGTTTAACACGTGCACAAGTGTGAAGAAACACAATGGAGAGTTTCCAAGGAAAAAAACAAAAATCGGAAGGTTCGTACATTCATGTAACTTAACTCAAAACGCAACGTAAACCCAAGATTAACAGCTCTCGAGTGTTGTAATCGCCAGAAAACATCAACAAATTGCCTTTTTGTCCAAAAATCGCAAATAAACTCGTAACGTTTTTTCGGTTGGCCCCACTGATGTTTGTATGTCAAACGTCAGCGGTGCACGTTGTGTATAAATCATTTAGAGGTTAAGTCCGCCACAACAAAATCGCAATGTTGCGACGCCAAGCCCGCCTCCGCCGCGAATACCTCTACCGCAAAACCGTCGAAGACAAGCAGAAGTCAATCCAAGCCAAAAAGACCCGAATCAAGCGCAGCTTGGAGGAAAACATCCCCATCCATGGCGACCTCCAAAGCAAAGCTCTGCACTACTCCAAGAAAATCGAGTGGGAGGATGCGGGCCCCCAGGCCGCGGCACGCATGGGCGGCGAAAGCGGCGGCGCCCTCGCCAACTCGCAAGACGACGAATACAGATACGCCGGAGTCGAAGACCCGAAAATCGTCATCACGACGAGCCGAGACCCGAGTTCGCGGCTCAAGATGTTCGCGAAGGAGCTGCGACTCATTTTTCCCAATGCGCAGAGGATGAACCGTGGTAACTACGAAATGAAGCAACTGGTGCACGCTTGTCGGGCCAACGACGTCACGGATTTTATTATAGTGCATGAACATAGGGGTGTTCCGGACAGTTTAGTGGTTTGTCATTTACCGTACGGACCTACCGCGTACTTTACGATGACGGACGTGGTGATGAGGCACGACATCCCGGATTTGGGGACGATGTCCGAGCAGTATCCGCATTTGGTTTTTCACAATTTTAAAACTAAGTTGGGGGAGAGGGTCACGAGTATTTTGAAGTATTTGTTTCCGGTGCCGAAGGAGGAGTCGAAGCGGGTGATCACGTTCGCGAATCATGATGACTATATTAGTTTCAGGCACCACACGTACAAAAAGGTGGACAAGCAGGTAAGTTGTATTGTTTTTAATTAAACCTAGTATCTGAACAATTAAGAAATTTTATGACTGATTTTTACAGATTGAGCTATCTGAAGTGGGGCCTCGTTTCCAGTTGAAATTGTACGAAATTAAGTTAGGGACTTTGGAAAACGCAGACGCCGCGGACACCGAGTGGGCCCTCAGACCCTACATGAACACCTCTGTTAAGAGACGTTTTCTCAGCGATGATGATGGTTGGAAGCAAGAGGATGACATAAACGACTAATTTGTTTTTTTTTATATTTAAATAAAAATACGAGATTATATGTGTTTCAATTTATGTTTTATTTTAATATTACTCTTTTTGTTTGAACACTGTGTTAATGGATGCAATAAATTTAGAAGTAACAGGTATTTCGAGGAGTGGACGAGTCCGGAAGAAGTCTTCAAAGTTGATGGATTTTGAGTCGCCTGATGAAATCGACCGTTCGTATAACAAGCGACAAAGTGGCTTGGGACGAAAGTCAGAGTTTGATGTACAACCACCTAGGAAACTACCGAGACCTGAAGATGTTTTTATTAAGTCAGAACATGGTTTTGAAAATTATGATATGGATCCAAGCGATTCAGAGTACGAGAGCGAATACGAATTACCTGCCAATACTGAGTCAAGTATAGATTCCGTCGATACAGACAGTGAGTTTGATGAGCAAGAAACCGGAGGGTTTAAGAGGTTGGATACCGATACCTCCAAGAAACGCTTACTCATCAAAGATGGCAGAATTATTAAAACAGAGAAGCACCCCAATAAAGGTGAGTTTGCAATCAATTGGGTGTTTGTTAACGCTGACGAAATTGTAGCAACTGGAAAAGTCGCCCCAAAGTCAACTGGTAAAAAGACCCCCATTTCTAAAACTTCTCCCGGAAGTTTGTCGTACGATACGTCCAGTATTTCTCCCCCTAGTCCTAGAGGTAAAGATTCGTCGTATAAAGTTAGCGGAATTAAACCGATAGATGTCGCTGCACATTTAAAATTGTTAGGAGAAAGTCTCACGATTATTGGAGAGAGACTGAAGGAGCACGAAGTAAGTAACAAAATCAAGTGATTCCAGATTTTACTGTGTGTTCCAGGGTCAAATTGCCGTTTCTGGGAGCTTATCTGTGCTCCTAGATTCTCTTCTATGTGCCCTTGGACCATTGCTGTGTCTTTCACAACAAATACCAGAATTACAAGAAAATTGTTGTAGTCCTGAACAGTTGATGAGCACCTTGGACAACGTTGCTTTCATTATGCCAGGACTCTAGATTAGTAATGTTACCTTATTGTGTTGTTGTAACAGTAATTTACCCAATAAAGTTATAACATAACCACTTGTGTATAACAAACAACACGCCAGATATGTTTATTACTTAAACAGTTACAATAATTAGACTTACCTAAAACCAAATTAAACACAAGACAAGTCACGGCCATCTTCCTGATGGCTTCATCCCGGGCGGATGGTTAAAACAATGGGCTTTACAAGGATCGTCATAGAGACATGGCCCCTCTTTAGGTTTCCAGTGTTTACAGCAAGGCCTAGTGCACGGTCCCGGCACATACTTTTCATTCTTGTTTTTGGGTTTTGGTGGACAGGGTTGGATTTGGGCGCACCAAACCCCGCACGGATCACAACAAGGAGGAGGAGTTAGTTTCATGGAACAGGGTTTGAATCCTGTGGGACAGCCCGCCGTACAACACCCTTCGTCTTTTTTTATCGTGTAATCTTGGCAACACCGCTGCTTCTGGGGTATCTCGGGGGGACAATAGGGACAAGAAGGGCTCACCGAGTGGTAGTCGATGTTGTAGTTGTTGTAGAAATTGTTGTAGCGGGCTCGTTCTTCTTCGGCGGGCGTTAGCTACGAACAGTTTGTATAAGTAGGGGATTGCGCAACGTGGGATAGGTCGTACCGGTGGTGGACCACAACAAGGAGGACACGGTAGAGAGAGGGGTTTCACCGGTTGGGGTATCGTGGGAGCCAGGATCGGTGGAGGACAACACATCGTCACTTGGGCGAAGGGAAAAGTACAAGGAGGGCAGCAGGGTTGGCAGCATGGTTCGCAACAAGGCTCAGGACAACACTTCTCGGTACAACTACGAACAGAAAAACGATTATATAACTAAAGAAAATTGTACTTAGTGCACACCAGTCTCCGATTTGATTGGCCAGATCTTTTAATTCCGACAATAAACCGTCTGTACAACACGCCATATTTAGCCCCGGCACAACAAAAATTTATCAAACACAAAATTTACACACAAAAATTTAGTTCAATTTTGGAATGTCAAACCTATAACTTAGCAACACTTACTTTAAAAGAGCGATTTGATTTTTTTGAGTTAAACACGTAACTAACAACATCAACGAACTAGTATTCAAGATCCAGACATTTATTACCTAAAAAAAAAAAAAAAAAACCAAAAACATTACAACACCACGCATTATGAGCAAGGCTTCGTTTCCAATGCCGCCCCTATTTTGTAATGGAGACACTTTTTCGGCTTTGGAGGGCATGGTTGAATTTCCGCGCACCACACCCCGCATGGGTGACAACACGGCGGCGGCGTCAATCTCATGGTACATGGTTTGAATCCCGTGGGGCACCCGACGTCCAGACACGGCTCGCATGGTAAGCAGTCGCAACAAGGCGATTTTCCATCCACTGTTTGTCCCTTCTGTTTGTCGGGGGTGCATTCAGGACGTATGTATTTGTTGGCGTAACGCGGGCTTTCGCTATGCCAGTCGATATTATAATTGTTGTAAAAACTGTCGTATCGAGAGTCTTCCCGTTCTTGTAAAGTCATCTGCCAAAGGAAAGTTACAAGAATGGTTACAATGGGTTTTTCTTACCAAAGGTGTTTCCGTTTTTGGACAAAACAAGCCCAGAGGTTTCACGGGCTCGGGGTAAATTGGGGCCAAAACCGGGGGCGGGCATGAGATTATTACTTGGGCGTACGGGAAATTACAGGGAGGGCAACAAGGAGCACATGGCGGGTCTGGCGTGCAGCAAGAACAGGGATCTGACGAGGACCCGCAGCTGAGGGTTCAAAATATAACACAAATTTTTCAAATTAACGTCAGTGTTTTCAGATACCTATCTCCTATTTGGTTTACTAAATCATGCAGTTCAGCGAGCAAACTTTGTCTCGCGCACGCCATTTTTTACTTTAACAACAAATTTTAAAAGTTACAACACACAAAATTTTGACAAATTTCAAACGTTGATTTGAATTATGAATTTTCAGAACTGTATCTTGGCGACAACTCGTCGCCAAAACTAAAACGTAACAGTGTCACGTTGTTCATAGTTCCGTGATCTGTACAAAGGGTACGAAAATCAAATTTTGATAGTTCTCGACGTTTAAATCAACAAGATTTACCTGTTGCCCTTTTTTCTTAATCTGTGTAGTCTTCTTTTCACAACAAGAAAGGTAAAACATGTCTAAAATGGTAAACTTTTGTAGGTAAGTATTGATTTTGCAATTAGAATCCGCCCCTCGGTCTGACAACGAATGAAAAATTCATCACATTTGAGCTTGGGATGGATATGGGTGGGGCCTAATTTTTGGCTTGTGCGAATAAAAACGTCATTACAATTGAGATAGGGCGGGTGGGCGGGCTTACATTTTGCCTTTATTTTTCTTAATATACATAGCCATCTTTTCGCAACAAGAAACTTAAAACATTGTTGAAAAGGTACAGCTTTGCAAGGAAATATAGATTTTGCAATTATATTTTGTGAAAAGATGGCTGCGTATATTAAGAAAAATAAAGGCAAAATATAAGCCCCGCCCACCCGCCCTATCTCTATTCTGATGATTTTTTTAAGTGAACAGTGAACCAAGAGGGCGGAGATTAACTGCAAAGCACTTATTTCTTTACAAGGAATTAAAAATATGCTTTTGAGTATCGCGTTGTTAAAAAAATACTGTGGGTATTAAGAAAAAGGGGCAAAATATAAACCCCACCCACCCACCCTATCTCAATTGTGATGATTTTTTTTTATTCTTAGAAACTTAAAACGGGTTTAAAATGGTAAATTCTTGTAGGGAAATACGGATTTTGCAATTTGGCTCCGCCCCTAGGTTTGTCAACGAATGAAAACTTGATTAGTACATATTTAGTTCAGGACAGGATGGGCGGGGCTTATTTTTTGGCTTTAATTTTTTCTGAAGGTCCAGATTATTTTTTGGATAACACGATACTCAAAAACATGTTTTTAATTTCCCCTACAGAAATAAGGATTTTGCAATTAAGCTCCGCCCCTCGGCTTACGACGTATAAAAAAAAATCGTCAGAATTGAGATAGGGTGGGCGGGCGGGGCATATATTTTGCCTTTATTTTTCTTAATATATAATAGCCATCTTTTCACAACAAGAAACTTAAGACATGGGTAAAATGACACGTTTTTGTAAGGAAATATGGATTTTGCAATTATGGGGCGAAATCGCTTTGAATAAGTTGAATTTGAAAAAAATTCATTCAAGAAAATCGTTTAACATAGGCAACCATGTGCAAGTTTAATTCCTTTTGGGTAGTTGGTAGTTCTGCTAGGGAATTTGTAGGTAGAGGGTTGGTAGTGAAGTTTACTTGTTTGGTAGAGGGTAGGTGTCGCGTCACTGTTGTGTTATTTTGGTAGTTAATAAAACGGGGAAGGCTTTGTTTAAAGACAATTAATCGTAACGACGAAACACGTGGTAGAAGCGGAGTGCGCGGTTCCTTGTCGAGCTGGCGGTCGCGCCATCTGTACGGAAGACGCAGTTTTTGGATAGAAGTCAAAGGAGCGGTCGGGATGACGCGATTTCCAACCACGAGTTTGCGTAAGGGTCTGTTCGCGCGGCACGTTTTTTCGTGATTGCCGATATAGTAGAATCACCGTCGTGGTGGGAAAACAGCCACAACCAGGAGCCCCAAACTCCGCTTGTGCTACAACGCCATCTATGGAATTTATTAAAATTTTGTTCTCGTGTTGCCTGCCATAATTACGTCAGTAATAACTTGTGTGTTTGCATCCAGTGTCGAAACCAAAGAATCTTTAGGTATAGGCGAAACTTGCATTAGGCGCCCCTCCTCTACACATAAAAATGCAATTTTACCGAATAGTTTTATTTATATTTTTTAATAAGTACGCAAAACAGATACTATGATAAAATATAAAAAAAGAAAAACAATCCACATTATACATATAGGTATATAATATGTATAAATATTATATAAGTTCAAAATAAAATCAACATTAAAAAACCTGTCACACCGGTTACATGTTCAAAATAAAAAAAGATTGATATGACATAACTCTTGGTATAGTTTTGGAAATTCCATTCTACCTTATAAAATTTTATTGGCGATAACGAGACGGGCAGTAGTACAATGGTAAGAAATATTTATGGCTCACACCAGTTCACTCGAATTTGTCTGAGAACATTTGCCAGGTAGTTGCACTCATAAAATAATGGTCATTTCTGTTCATGGGTAACGATGGTCCCTGCCCGGACTTGGATTATTCTGGTTTCTAACATCTGGGGATTATTGGCAAGCGACAACTTAAGTTGTAGATATCTCTTGGTATTGTACTACTGTCCATCTCGTTATTGCCATTAAAGTTTTATAGGATACAATGAAATTTCCAAAACATAATTTTTGGACGAATTTGGCGCCCCTTGTCGTTGGCGCCCCTAGGCAAGGGCCTACTCGGCCTATGGCTAGTTTCGGCACTGTTTGCATCCAGTTACTTTAATTCAGTTTTTTTGTTTGTTCTTATTAAATTTGCCCTATTTAAATATTTGCATTGATTTGCAACGTTTAATTTGATTTCATTCAAAGTTAGGAAGTTTTTTTTGTAGTTAAGCATTAGAGGTGTCTTCAACCGGCACAACTTAGTCGCAGCTTTTTTTTCAGTGGAGGAATAAATGATTTTGTGTCCTCCATATATTTTGTTTTATTTGGCGGTACTTTTCCAACCATTGGGTCCACCACTTGCATCTGAACGTATTCCGCCACAAAAAAAAAACAAACACAATGTACGGTTCCATTTTGGTAACTATCACAACCAAGGCCAAATTTTTGAATTTTTCGCGGGCTTTCAAATTTTTTTCACATGTCAATTTTAGGCGGGATCACGGCTGTAGGCGGGATGTTTGGATTATCACATTCTTATACAAATTTTTCATTTTAAACATATTTTAAGTTTCATGCTGTGAAAATAAGTTTACACAGATTAAAACATAAAGGCAAAATGTAAGCCCGCCCACCCACCCTATCTCAATTGTAATGATTTTTTTTTATTCGCCATCAAGCAAGGGGGCGGAGCTTAATTACAAAATCCGTATTTCTCTACAAGAATTAAAAAACATGTTTTTGGGTATCATGTTGTTTAAAGAATACTATCTATATTAAGCAAAAAAAGGGCAAAATATAAACCCCACCCAACCGCCCCATATCAATTGTGACGATTTTTTTATTCTTAGAAACTTGAAATACGTTTAAGAACAAGAAACTTAAAAAATGTTTAAAATTCCAAATTCTTGTAGGTAAATATGGATCTTGCACTGAAGCCCCGCCCGTCGACTTCACAACGAATGAAAAATTCATCACAATTGAGATTGTGGCGGGGCCTAATCTTCGGCTTTAAGTTAATAAATCTCACTTAACCAAGACGTGGGATGGTAGGATGATGGTGGTGTAAAATTAAAACGACCAGTTATCAATCAAACTTTTTTCATCTGCATCGTACAGATACTTGGTGGTACCTTTCCAGCATATCAGCCACATCAAATCTCATTTTAATTATTCGTAATGAGTTAGGAGCGCAGCGGCAGCCCTTAAATCATTACAAAACAACTAAATTGTTTTATTTTATATAATTATAAATTACAAGAAAAAAGTGTAAACTTTGAATTTATGGTGATTTCAGAAAGTTACATCAAGACAATAAGCGTTATTTGAGACATTGATATTTTATCCCGAAAATTAAATTGAAGAAATGAACAATGAAATTCTGTGATATTGTCCCAAGTTTTCTAAAATCACGTACTAGTTTATCTAAATATATGTATTTTAATATTTATTCATATGGATGCCCTTTCACCCATAGAGCCAATATACACATATATAAAGTTAAATATATCAGTTAGAACAAAAAATTGTAAATACTCTACATACTTTCCAAATATCTAAATAGATTAAGCATAGGTATACATCATAATGATTAAAAAAGGGCTTGCGTTGCGTAATTAGTAAATCAATTAACAAAGTAACTCTAAAAAAAAATGTTGGTTCATATCCCAAAACTAAGCATTATTTAAAAAAACAAAAAAAAAAGAAAGAATACATCAGCAGTATATTATTACACCATCGTTATAAAAGAAAGCATAATCGTAGTAACTTTTTTTTTTCAATAACAAAAAGATTACACATTTCATGAACATTACAATTATTCCATCCAGAACGGATAAATTACTAATACAATGTCTATTATTGGTGAGCTAAATTATGTAATTTGTTTCCTTTTTCTCTACATGTGTATAGTCAATAAACAGCTACATAAAATGTAAGTATGGATTAATTTAATTTTTCATTTCCATTTTTTGACATCTGTTTTCTTTCGAATATCAGTTAATTTTCGGCTATATTGTCTCCCATGAGCAATAGCGCAAGTCATTGTTAAACAGCAAAAAATTCCTTTTCAGTGGAAAAGTAATTTCGTCTCAACATTTTAACATCAAAATTTGTTACTTTACATGAATTCTGTGCATGATATTAAAGTTGTTGTCTTACAGTAATGGACAAGATTTAATGTCGAACTTCAAATACAGAGCGTTGCAAAACATTTGCTAATAACTTGTTTAAAGGTCGGTTTACAATTTCTGCAAATGGTATATACCGAAAGGTCACGACTTCATAATGAGAACCATCCTTAAACCATCTCTCAATTCTAACAATATAAATCGTTGCCGGCAATTCCTCTGAAAATTTCGCAACAATTTATCTTGTTGATCCAACAACAGATCTAAACGTATAAATACCATAAATATGATCACAGCAGTGCTAAAAGCACTCTCTCAGTCAATATATAATTATAACAGTTGTAACAAACATAGAAAAATATACATATGCTCTCAAACAATCAGTCAGCGTTTCAGAGTCATCTGAACACAGCTTAAGCAGTGTCGGCACTACCTTCCCTTACCTTTAGTTAATATCTATCTAAACATCAACGCACCAACACTGCTTTTTAGATAATCGTTGTTGAGCTAACGCGATTAAAAAACCAGTCACTATGATAGACGCGAGACACTCGCACTTTTGAGTCTTCCACTTTGTTTCAAACACTTGATTCAATGGTAATAAGGCTCCTAAACTCCCACGTGTTGGGTCTCTGCAGGTTCGTAACTAAAGTAGACTTAAAATAATTAAAACAAAATCCAGCGATAGAAAACAACAAACACAACACAGACACTCGACTTCGCTTTTAGTGAGAAGTATTAACTAAATTCGGAGCGTCTCCTTGACCTTTATGATCACTATTACCCTTGATGCAGTCTTCTGTTTTACCTGCCGTACTCACCGTACCGTCGTTATTTATTATTATTTCGTCAGCTGGAATGTCTCTGGAAGAAAACAATTACAACAAAACTAAAACATCGTCGGACGAAATTTACCCGCTTTCGGTTTTAACCGTAAGAGTGTGATGTTCCTGGCTTGTCTGGTTTCTGTTGTTAGGCTTGTTAGTGTTGTTACGTTTCTTATTTGCCTATAATAAAATTAAACACTCTATGAGCCACCTACTAAATGTTCCACGACTACCAACCAACAACAAACTGAACTCACAACAACTTACGTTATTTCTTTTATTCACCGGAAAAGTGGGCGGTCCTGGTTTTCGTTGCTGCCCTCGACCTCTTGCTATATTTTGTTGGTTAAAATTACTCGGACCTGGAGGACCTCCCATCACTCCACGCCCTCTACCCTGATAACCGACGATGGGTGCTTGCTGCCTCATATTTTGGTAACCGTAATTCGCCCCCCACGAACCCACAACGACCCCCGCTACCTGCAATTGGCCACCTCTTGACGAGATAGGACGCGGGCGCATGCCCGCTGGAATTCTATTGGAGGGTAGAGGCATTGTGGGCAGGCCTTGCGGAGGTGGTAAACCTTGTCGCATCATTCCTATATACGTTAAACACTATTATTCCAAACTGCTTCATGACTAAACTAACACCCTAATTAGTACAATCGCACGCAGATGTTTTGAGCCTATGGGCGGATCATTTTTGCCGGTCGTCACCGAAGGAGGCGATCCAAATCGTCCAAGGGCAGAATTTGTAGGTAGGCTCAAACTACAACGAAATTTACGTGTTGACCAAATTCTTACCCTGAATTACTTTTAATTTTATAAATACCCTATCTAAAATGTTCAGAATATGATGAGTCTATACTTGTGATTTACCATTCCATTAATATTTTTTGGATTTGTTTATACATACAGGGTGACTAAAAAAAAAATAATGACTGAGTCAATTTATTTTATTGAAGAAATCAAGAATTGCAAAACTGAATACTTTGAAATCTTGTCAATTAGTTAGAAAAAAAAACCTGTCCTGCTCTAATAACATCGAGAATATGCTCAAAATCACACTAATATTAAGTCTAATTGTGCCAACCATAGTTATAAAATTCACATTAAAGTAAGTCACGGACATTTTTTGAAGTGTACTACATTTCAAAAAGCAAAAAAAATATTCAGTTTATAAACTTCATAATTTTGGTTTAAAGTTTATCAATCATATTTGACGCTTTATTTTATCCGTTCCATTTGTTATCCTTTACTGCGGTCTCTCTTGGGTCGAACGTTCTTCGACCGATAGGATAATTTATTACTTCCGTCATCTTTTCGGTGACGAATTTAATTTTTGCATACTTCAGCGTAGTTAGTGAACTCGTTGTGACTACTGAAATATACAAAGAGTAAATTTTGAAATGGAACGAAAGTCGAAGAATACTTTCAAAGCCACGATCAAAATGTATTTGCTTATCTTCGCCAAAAAATTCATGACGTCATCGTAAAATTTGATATGATGAGTCTATATGTACCTGTGATTTATCATTGCAGTAATATTTTTTAGATTTACTTATAAAGCCTGTCTCAAAAAAAGGTCACTTCGATTTTCGATTTTTCGTTTTTTCGACCAACAGTTTCATCGAATTGGATTTTTCAGTTTCCATTTTTCTATCAATTTTTCGATTTTATTACTTTCTAATTTTCTGGTTTTTCAAATTTGCGGTATTTTGATTTTTTGAGTTTTCAGTTTTTTCGTTTTTCGATTTTTTAATTTTTCGTTTTTTTGATTTTTCGGTGTTTCAATTTTTTAATTTGCCATTCTTTCAATTTTCGATTTTTCGTCGTTCCATTTTTAGATTTTTTGATTTTTCTGTTCGTCAGTTTTTAGACTTTGCAATTTTTTTGCATTTTTCGATTACATTTTACTTTCCGATTTTTTTGATTTTTGAATTCTCGATTTTACGTTTTTAATTCTTCGATTTCCGATTTTTCAATTTTCCATTAATCATAAAATTTTTCGATTTTTCGGTTGTTTTATTTTTCGACCTTCGATTATTCGATTTTCTATTTTCTGTTTTTACGATTTTTCGATTTTCGTTTTTCCGCTTTTATGGTTTTTCGATTTTTCTGTTTGTTGCAGTTTTTATGGTTCTGCAATTTGCAGCTTTTAGATTTCAATTTTGTTACTTTCCGATTTTCCACTTTTCGATTTTTTGATTTTTTTTCGAGCGTCGTTTTTGCGATTTTCATTTTTTCGATTTTTTGATTTTTCAATTTTTAGGCCTTGCAATTTTTTTACTTTTCGCTTTTTCGAGTATTTGTTTCATCGAATTTTCAATTTTTCGAGTTTTCGATTTTTCGGTTTTTCCATTTTCCGATTTTCGATTTTTCGATTTTCCATGTTTAGATATTTTTCGATTGTTCTGTTCGTCAGTTTTGAGACTTTGCAATTTTTACTTTTCCACTTTTCTATTATTTTAGTTTCGAATTATTCGATTTTTGAATTTTCGTTTTTTTTTCATTTTTCGATTTCCGATTTTTTAATTTTTCGATTTTTCGGTTTTTTAATTTGTCGATTATCGATATCCCGATTTTCGATTTTCCAATCTTCGATTTTTCAATTTCCAGTTTTCGATTTTCCACTTTTTGATTTTACGATTTTTCGATTTTTCTGTTCGTCAGTTTTTAGGCTTTGCAATTTGTTTATTTTTCGATTTTTCGATTATTTTACTTTCCAGTTTTTTGATTTTTGAATTGTCGACTTTTAGAGTTTTCAATTTTATGAATTTTCGGTTTTCCTATTTTTCGATTTTTGATTTTTTCATTTTTCGGTTTTTTGATTTTTCAATTCTCGGTTTTTCAATCTTGCAAATTTTCGATCTTTCAGATTTGTGAATTTCCAGTTTTTCGATCGACCTACGTATTAGATTCAGTGAATTTTCGATTTTCGGTTTTTCCATTTTTGGATTTTTGATTTTCCAGTTTTGCATTTTCAGGTTTTCTGTTTTTCGCGTATCTGATTTATCAAATTTTCGATTTTTCGATATTTGATTTTGGAATTTTCGATTGTTCAGTTTTCCATTTGTCAGCTTTTAGACTTCAATTTTTTTACTTTTCGATTTTCCAAATTTTCGAGTTTCAATTTTCAGATTTATGATTTTTCGATTTTCTTTTTAAATCTTTGAATTTTTCGGTTTTGATTTTTAATTTTTCCATTCTTCGGTTTTTAGACTTCAATTTTCTTTCTTTTGAATTTTTCGATATTCTATTTTCCGCTTTTCAGAATTTTCGATTTTCAGTTTTCAGACTTTCGATGATTAGAATTTTGGATTTTTCAGTTTTATGATTTTTCGATTTTTAAAAAATTTGAGTAGTCGAGTTTTCGATTTTTCAATTCATCGATTTTTCAATGTTCAATTTTTCAATTTAAATTTTGCGATTTTCAATTTGTCCATTGTCGATTTTTTGAATTTTCGGTTTTTCAATTTTTCCATTCCCAACTGTTAGACTAGGACCCGATTTATAGAAAGCGAAGTTAAAGTTAATTCGCGATTAACTTTTAATTGAGGTCCCTTGCGAGGCAACGCGGATATTTTAACCAATCACGGGCTCATATTCCACATTTTAATTCTCTGTTAAACTAATCGAGGATTAAATATTTAACTCGCTGTTCTATAAACCGGCCCTAGATTTTGTTACTTTCCGATTTTTTGGTTTTCGATTTACCAATTTTCAGAATTTTCAAGTTTCTTTATTCAGATTTTCCATTTTCCACTTTTTCGATTTTAGATTTTTCGAATTTTTGTTTTTCCAATTTTTTGCTTTTTCGATTTTTCTGTTCGTTTCAGTTTTTAGGCTTTGCAATTTTTTTTTACTTTATATATTTTGATTATTTTAATTTTCGTTTTTTTTTATTTTTGTTTTTGATTTTTTTAATTATCAATATCACAAATTTTTGACTTTTCGATTTTTTGGTTTTCCCGTTTTTCAATTTTCGATTTTTCGATTTTTTGTTTTTTGCATTAGTGAATTTCAGTTTTTCCGATTTTTGATTTTGCGCATATTTGATTAATCAAATTTTCGAAAAAGTTACCATGCTTACAAAAACTTCAAAACATCTACAATATTTCAAAGTATTCAGTTTTGCTATTCTTGATTTCTTCAATAAAATAAATTGACTCAGTCATTAACTTTTTTGAGACACCCTGTATAACCAAATCTATAAAATATTAATGCAGTGATAAATCACAAGTATAAAACTCATCATATTTTATACATTTAAGATAGGATTTATTCTGCAAAATTTTGAGGTGATGTCATAAATTTTTTAGAGGGGATAAGCAAATATATTTTAATTAAAAATGTATCATGTTTATCATGATTTTAAAACATCTGCAAGATTTCAAAGTATTCCATTTTGCAAATTCAAAATTAAATTGCAAAATATTGTTTTATAATTTTGATTTTTTTTTCCAAAAATCTGGACGTTTTGGATAAAAACTCAACACGGAGTCATAAACTACATGTGTAGGACTATGTTACTGTATACAATTTAAAACCCATTTACTATGCATAAATTTGAAGTGACGTCATCACATTGGTGGGGATGATTAGACAAATTTAATAATTTTGCGACATTTATGAAAAAAATATCAGTTAACAAAAATGGCACGTTTTTATTATTATGCCAGTTACATGTCACTCAACGACAATATCGTTTTTTTTTAAGAGTATTTTATTTGAAAAAGTGATGAAATTTTTGATACGGAACAATTGGTCGAAAGATGTTAGAAAGCAAAATAATTCATGTCCGGACCATCGTTACTTACGAACGAAAGTGACCATTATTTTATGGAAACAACTACCTGCTAAATCTTCTCCGACAAATTCGAGAGAACTGGTGTGAGCCATAAATATTTCTTACCAATGTATATATAACTACTGTCCGTCCCGTTATTGTCAATAAAATTTTATAGGGTAAAATGTGAATTTCGTTGTAGTTTGAGCCTACCTACAAATTCTGCCCTTGAAGGGTTTGGACCGCCTTCTTCGGTGAAGGCAGGCAAAAACGATCCGCCCATAGGCTCAAAACATTTGCGTGCGATTGTACATACAACAATGTCTTAACTCAGATTGAGGACTAAAACAATTGAGTTTAAGTCGCCACCCAGAGCTAACTTAATTTCCTTCCATGCAACAACCTATCAAGTCACTTTATTAACCAGCCAGGCGCTTTTTGGAAGATTCGCACCACGTGACAACCAGATTTGCACCCACCTGCAAACGGAGCTAAAGGAACCTTTGCAAACTTCACGTCCAACCCCTCCAAAATAGCTTTCCTCATCCGCTCCACCTTGACGACCCTCTCAATGTGATTCTCGCAGACCTCCAGTATATTTTTCGAGTGTGTTGATCTGTTCAACGTGTGGTGGAACAACTTCCCGTCGAAATACAACCAAGGACAACACATGAGCCATGGAAGTGGTGCGCCACAAGCGTCGTTAGCCAACAAGGCCATTTCAACCCCTTGCATGAAAAGCGCCGCCAATTGAACCCCTCTACTTGTGACAACCGTGAGCTAAAAATACCAATCAATCGCGTCTACACACAAACCCAATCCCACTCACTGTTAACTCCTGAAGGTACTGAGGATTCATGAGATCAACATTAAAAGCCTGGCACAGAAAAGCGTCCAGTTCGTGTCTCCTCATAATGGGCTTATCTTGCGACATGATATACCGCAAAACGCACGCCATTATTAGCATATGCTGAGGCACGTATCCGGTATTCAATATAAGAGGAGTATCGGAATTTAAACAAGATAAAAGCGCCCTCATTCTTCGTCGCTTGTCGTCGAGAGCGGGACCGAACCATAATCTTTGCAATGTCGGAACAGCCCAAGGTAGGGGTTCGGCTTTTACGTGTTCGGGGTACTGGTACGGATTGGAACGGCTGTATATCCACTCTTTGACGACGATCTCGGGTTGAGGGGAGTTTTCGGGCAATTCGCCCGATTCTTTTTTCTTCGTATGGACGTACCGGAGGTGGTGCAGGTTGAACAATACTGCGTAGACGCGCTGCCGGAGCGGCTGGTAGATATCGTGGATGGGGGGGAACTCGCGGTTGCCTTCGTCTTCCATGAGGCACGGTAAGCGCACCTCTTGGGTGCTGAGGACGTGCAGGATCATGGAGGCCATCAGGCCTTTCTGGTGGCGGAGAGACGCCGTTCGGAGGACGTCGGGCGAAATGGTCGGAGTTACCAAGTTTTGCGAAACTGAAAAGAATTTAAAAAAATTTTAAGTTTAGATTTAGTAAATTTTGAAATAAGAACTACTAGGCTGCAAAGTAACGCAACCAACTAATTTGCATTCATGACGCAACAGCGAAGTCAAATTGAACTCGTAAATGAAAATTCTATAAAAAGGTGTCTTTTGAAAAAAATGAGTTCTAGAAATTTCCTTAATTATTCTAAACACATTTTTTTAAGTCATTGTACCGGGAGTCTGGAAAATGACAGATTAACTCCCCGCTACGCTCTTAATCAACTGGTGAGTCTGGGAAAAACAGTAAAAAAATTCGAAAATTTCAAGAAATGAAAAATTAAAAAATCGACAAACTGAAGAATTAGAAATTGAAAAAACAAAAAATTATAAACCTTAAACGCTGAAAAATGGAATAATTGAAAAAATAAAGAAAATGAAAAATGGAAACGAAAAATTGCAAAAATTTATAATTAAAAAATCTAAAATTGAAAAATCGAAAAATTGAAACATTTCATGTTGGAAAAAAAAGGAAAATTAGAAAATCAGAACATTGAAAAACCAAGAAATAGAAAAATAAAGACATAAAAATTAAAAATTGAAAATTCGTGAAACTGCAAATCGAAAAATCCCCACATCTAAAAATTGAAACATCCGAAAGTTGAAAAATAAATGTGAAAAATTTAAAAATGAAAACAAATAGTAAAATTGACGAAAAGAAAATTAAAAATCGCAAATCGAAAATCTGAAGAAATGAAAATTGAAAAAACTGAAATTCAAAAAACAAAAAATTATAACATCAGAGGTGAAAAATCGAAGAATTGTAAAAAAAAAGAAAATAAAAAAACGAAACGAAAAATTACAAATCCAAAAATTTGAAGAACCGGAAAACGGAAAAACTGGCAAATTAAAAATTCAAAACTCAAAAGATTTTGAATCTAAAAATTGAAGAAACAAGAACTGAAAAAATACAATAAAATTTAAGAAACAAAAAATTATAAACTGGAAACACTGAAAAATCGAATACTTGAAAAAATAAAGAAAAAAAAGAAACGAAAAATTGCAAATCGAATAAATGAAAAGGTTTTAAAACCTCAATAACTGAAAAATGGAAAAATTCTAAAATCGGAAAATTGGAAAGTGAAAAATGTTTTAAATTGTAATTATTGTTGCATATTTTAAAAGAAATAAAATGAAAATTAGAAATATTGCAAAACAAAAATCGAAGAATCGAAAAATCGAAAAATTGAGAAACTGAAATTTGTAAAATTGAAAAAACCAACAATTAAAAAATCTAACATTGAAAAATCGAAAAATTGAAAACCGAAATATTGAAAAACCCAAAATTGAAAAAAATCGCATTAAAAAAGAGAACAATTATAAAATCAGAACCTGAAAAACGGAAAAACTGATAAAATACAGAAAATAAAAAACCGATTCGAAAAATTGAAGATATGAAAAACTGAGAAATCGAAGAATTGAAAAATTAAAAACCCAAAAACTAAAAAACAGGAAAAAATTGAAAAGTAGAAAAACTGGAAAAACGAAAAAATCTAAAACTAAAAAATTGAAAAGCAAAGAAAACATTAACACGAAACACTGAAAAACTCGAGACTTAAAAATCAAAAAATTGTAGAATCGTCAAAATTGTAAAGATCGAAATACTGAGAAATTAAATGTCGAAAAACTGAAAAATAATAAATCGAAAAATTAAAAATCGATTAAATGAAAAAGTTTTAAAATCTAATCATTGAAAAACGGACAAATTTTAAAATCAGAAAATTGAAAAAGTGAAAATTTTTAAAAATCATAGGAGTAATTATTATTATTATTGTTGCATATTTAAAATGAAAACTAGAAATACTGCAAATCAAATATCGAAGAAACGAAACATCGAAAAATTTAGACACTGAAAAACGTAAGATTGAAAACACGAAAAATTAGAAAGTCTAAAATTGAAAAAATTCACATTGAAAAAGAAAAATTATAAAGTCAGAACAGTGAAAAACCAAAAAATTGACAAAATGAAGAAAATAAACAATCCAACCGAAAAATTGCAAATCGAAAAACTAAAAAACTGGAAAAAAATTGAAAAATCGAAAAACTGGAGAAACGAAAAATTGCAAAATCGAAAGAAATTAATGAATTGGAAAATTCGAAAACCCAAAAATTATAGAACCGTCAAAATTGTAAAGATCGAAAAATTGAGAAATTACATATCGATAAAATAAAAATTGACAACCGAAAAATTGAAAAATTCAAAACCGAAAAAATTCACATTGAACAAGACAAAAATAACACCGAAAACCGAAAAACTGATAAAATAAATAAAATAAAAAACGGAACCGAAACATTGCAAATCGAAAAACTGAAACAAAATTGAGATTGAAAAAGTAAAGAAAGTAAGAAAACGAGACTAAAAATTACAAACCGAAGATTTGAAGAAATGAAAAATTAAAGAACCTAAAAATTGAAGAAACAAAAAACGAAACATGAAAAAATCGCAAATCGAAAAATTGAGGCAAAATAAAGAAAATGAAGAACAGAAACGAAAAATTACAAATCGAAGAATTGAAAACCCGACAAACCGAAAAATCGAAAACACTGAAAAATTCAAAAGTTGGAAAACTCAAAAACTTATCATTTAAACTGAAGCACTCGAAAAATGCAAATCGAAAAACTGAAGAAACAACATAACCGAAAAACTGAAGAATTGAAATTAGTTGAGGCTGGTTTTTATTTTATAGACGTTACCAGAAAACAAAAATCGCAAACAATTTTATAATTTTTCAAAGAATTTAAAAGAATCTGATATTTTCTTGCTGGATAAACTTGAAAAAATCTTTTGAACTTTTAGTATTTTCCTTTACTTTTTTTTTTGTAAATCATTTAAAAGAATTTTGGGGGACTTGGTGTTCTATTTTTAGAAAATTCTGACCTGACCTGTGTTTTTTTGGAAAACTTAAAACAATCTCGAGGCTCTAGGTATTGGAAAGAATTTGAAACTGATTTAGAGCCTCTGTGTTTTTTCTTACAATAATTTAATTAATTTCTTAGGGGATACGTCATTTACCAAAATCAGTCTTACCTTGGCAGGTACCAGCCCCGCCCACCCACCCTCTCTTTTCTTAGAGAATATGTCATTTGCCAAAATCAATCAAAACTAATTTTGGCAAATGTGATACCCTGTAAGAAAAGACAGGGCGGGGCTAGTACCTGTTAAGATAAGACTGGTTTTGGCAAATGACATATCGCTCAGAAAAGAGAGGGTGGGTGGGTGGGGCTGGTACCTGGTAAGATATAAGACTGATTTTGGCAAATCACGTATCCTTTAAGAAAAGAGAGGGTGGGTGGGCGGGGCTAGTACCTGTTAAGATAAGAGAGATTTTAGTTATTGTGATAATGAATGTGTTGTTTAGTTGTTAAATGTAGCAAAAGAACCAATTTTAAAGTCATTATAACTCCACCAAAATGTGAGAAGGCATTTTTTTACCATTTTTTACACAATCACGTTGATAGTTAAGAGCGTAGTGGGGAGTTAATCCGCCATTTTCCAGACACCCGGTAGAAGTGTTGCCATTAAAAAAATAAAATAGTTCAGTCCTAACCTTAAAATTGAACACCTATTTCTATAAAAAATGTCTTAACTCAGATTGAGGACTAAAATAATAGAACTTCAGTCGCCACCCAGAGCTAACTTAATTTTCTTCCATGCAACAACCTACTAAGTCAAGTTATTAACCAACCAGGCGCTTTTTGGAAGATTTGAAAGACGTGAAAACCTTAAACTTAAGTAAGATATAGCCTTAAAAATGTTCACTTCGACATGTTTCAGCAGCTACGCTGCCTACCGCACCTAACTAAACGCATAACAAATGTCCTAACTCAAATTGAGGACTAAAACAACTGAATTTTAGACGCCACCCAGAGCTAACTTAATTTTCTTCCATGCAACAACCTACTAAGTCATGTTTTAACCAATCAGGCGCTTTTTGGAAGATTCGAAAGAAATGAAAACCTTAAACTTGAGTAACTATCGCCTTAAAAGTTTTTACTCAGACGTGTTTCAGCAGCTGCGCTGCCAATCGCACCAAACTAAACGTATAACAAATGTCTTAACTCAGATTGAGGACTAAAACAACTAAATTTTAAACGCCACCCAGAGCTAAATTAATTTTCTTCCATGCAACAACCTACTGAGTCATGTTTTAACCAATCAGGCGCTTTTTGGAAGATTTGAAAGAAATGAAAACCTTAAACTTGAGTAAGTATCGCCTTAAAAGTTTTCACTTCGATGTGTTTCAGCAGCTGCGCTGCCAATCACACCAAACTAAACTTATAATGTCTTAACTCAGATTGAGGACTAAAACAACTGAATTTTAGTCGCCACCCAGAGCTAACTTAATTTTCTTCCATGCAACAACCTACTAAGTCATGTTTTAACCAATCAGGCGCTTTTTGGAAGACTTGAAAGAAATGAAAACCTTAAACTTGAGTAAGTATCGTCTTAAAAGTCTTCACTTCGACGTGTTTCAGCAGCTGCGCTGCCAATGGCATCAAACTAAACTTATAATGTCTTAACTCAGATTGAGGACTAAAACAACTGAATTTTAGTCGCCACCCAGAGCTAACTTAATTTTCTTCCATGCAACAACCTACTAAGTCATGTTTTAACCAACCAGGCGCTTTTTGGAAGATTTGAAAGAATTGAAAACCTTAAACTTGAGTAACTATCGCCTTAAAAGTTTTCATTTCGACGTGTTTCAGCAGCTGCGCTGCCAATCGCACCAAACTAAACGTACAATGTCTTAACTCAGATTGAGGACTAAAACAACTGAATTTTAATCGCCACCCAGAGCTAACTTAATTTTCTTCCATGCAACAACCTACTAAGTCATGTTTTAACCAATCAGGCGCTTTTTGGAAGATTTGAAAGAAATGAAAACCTTAAACTTGAGTAAGTATCGCCTTAAAAGTTTTCACTCACACGTGTTTCAGCAGCTGCGCTGCCAATCGCACCAAACTAAACGTACAATGTCTTAACTCAGATTGAGGACTAAAACAACTGAATTTTAGACACCACCCAGAGTTAACTTAATTTTCTTCCATGCAACAACCTACTAAGTCATGTTTTAACCAATCAGGCGCTTTTTGGAAGATTTGAAAGAATTGAAAACCTTAAACTTAAGTAACTATCGCCTTAAAAGTTTTCATTTCGACGTGTTTCAGCAGCTGCGCTGCCAATCGCACCAAACTAAACGTACAATGTCTTAACTCAGATTGAGGACTAAAACAACTGAATTATAGTCGCCACCCAGAGCTAACTTAATTTTCTTGCATGCAACAACCTACTAAGTCATGTTTTAACCAATCAGGCGCTTTTTGGAAGATTTGAAAGAAGCAAAAACCTTAAACTTGAGTAAGTATCGCCCTTAAAAGTTTTCACTCAGACGTGTTTCAGCAGCTGCGCTGCCAATCGCACCAAATTAAACTTATAATGTCTTAACTCAGATTGAGGACTAAAACAACTGAATTTTAGTCGCCACCCAGAGCTAACTTAATTTTCTTCCATGCAACAACCTACTTAGTCAATGAGTTAAACTAAACAGGCGCTTTTTTGGAAGACTATAAATAAATCGTACGACAATCAAAGGAACTTACCAACTGCTGGACGAGAAGACTGTGCAGAATGTTTCGGTGATGACGGAACACTACTGGTATTTGAACTGCTCGAACTGACTAGAAGATTGACTCTAGTTCCGCTAGTACTGGCGATATTCTGGTTAGTATTAGGAATAGATCCATTCAAGAGTCCATTAAAGTGAGAAGGATCTAAAAATCGGAACATCGTAAATTCCAAAAACAAAACCACGAGTTTGATTGAAGCGAGTGTTCTAACTCAGATTGAGGACTAAATTTAATGCAAAAAAGTCCGCACCCAGAGTTAATTGATCTCCTTCCGTGCAACAACCTATTTAGTCAAGAATAGTACATAAACAGGCGCTTTTAAGGAAGGTTTAAATTGATCGACAAAAATACGTACCGCTGTGTGAATTACCGATTGTTCCATTTTGATCCAGAGTATAATCGGACGACATAACTAAATTAACCGTTGCTAACTTATAATTGTGAAGAGTTTCTTCCTGTAAAAACACTCTTCTAATTTGTGTACACAATAATTACGAAAAGTGCTAACCTCCTGCTCTGTGGTTTCAGAGGCGAAACCCGCACCCAAAACCTCTAAATCGTTATCGTTTTCTTTGTGACTTATTTCATTGTTATTTTGTACATTGCTGTGACCCTTTTTTTCTTTGGGTGTAGCTGTTGAATACAATCATCACAAAACTAGTTTTTTTTTTAAATTGGTAATACTCACAAGGTGGAGCACAATACTTAAGAAACCCACTAGCTGTACCGTTGAGGTAGTACTGAACCGACTGTCTAAACTTCGAGGCACGATTCTCATCAAGATATGAAAGTATGGCGCCAACCAAGGCGTCCATATTCGAAGGAGGCGGCAGTTTTCGAACGAAGTCAGCCAACGTCTTCACGTTACATTCCGGCGGCGACTAAACCAACCATTAATAAACACCCAAACCCAACACACACACACTTACCACGTTGTCCCTTATCACGTTCGTAATACCGATTTTTTTATGAAAATCTTGTAAATCGCTCTCAGTTAACAGAAAATTACCCATTAAAGCTGCCATTACACAAAGCTGTTCTTGAGTTAATTGAAGTGATTTAGTTAGTTCGTTTACCATGTATTCTTTGGTCTCGAGAGAGCCCTAGACACAAAACGCTTTAATAAAATGTGTCCATTCTGGTTAATGGAGGCGTGTACAAACTCAGATTGAGGACAAGATTAAAATTGCCATCATGTCACCACCCAGAGTTCATTTATCTCCTTCCTGGCAACAGTTCATGGAGGTATAGAGTCACCCCCACGAACGACAATTTGGAAGGATTAATCGTTGTAACTTACTTTGTATGTTAATTTTAAATTCTCTGACGAAAAATAACGCGGGGGGTCAAAGGCTGCGTATTCGGCATCGTCCGCTAAAAGCCCGTGGAAACCGTATTCTCTGCAGTAAGCTATTACTTCCTGGTGGTGGTCATCCATTGTACACATCTGAAAATCAAGAAGCAATTTAACAACACGCCCGTGACGGGTTTCAGCAGCTACTCTGCCTGAATTTCGTCGTTTTGGTTAAAATTGCACTTTAAAAAAAAAATTGGTCGACAGAACTTCCCTCGTCCACAAATACAGCTCTTTCGAAAAATTAAAAGTTTTGATTTTGCCAATTTTATTGTTTTTATGACAACCACTATAAGCTAAAATAAAAATATGTATCCGATATTTAATTTAACAATTTAATCACGTCGGCCGTATGTAATGACAGAGGTGCAACTGAAGACTGAACTGAAAATCATTTATGGTATTTGTAATTTAAGACAAATAGCGATAACACTTATCAACTTGTAGACGTGAGAGTGAAACAGAAACAAAAGTAAAAGGTGTTTTCTACGAATTGCAATAACCGGATCACAATGCCGAAGAAGACTTTTTTATTGCTCTGACTTCCGTTTATTGAATAAAATACATTTTATTTTGATTTTCGATGTTGTAATTCACATTTGGGTAATTATAACTTGTCTAGATCTAGGAAACTTGAAAGTGTTTATGTTTATACATCGGAAGAATGTCACGTAGTAATTAGTTTGATTTGAATGAGTTCGTCCCCTTAAAACAGAGGATCAAAACTATTAAGTACTAAGCTACAATCGACAAAATATTCTGAATATCATTATTATAATATTTATTAAATAACGACGTTTGTATTTTCACATTTTCGGGGAAAATATGAATGCAATGAATGATGAATCACAAGTAAAAACTCATCTCATTTTGGGTAGAATTTACTCGGCAAAATTTTGAGATAACGTCATCAATTTTTTGGGGGGATTAAACAGATTTATTTTGATTAACAATTTACCATGCTTACAATGACTTTAAAACGTCTGCAAGATTTCAAAGTATTCAGTTTTGCAATTCTTGATTAAATCAACAAAATAAATTGACTCAGTCATTAATTTTTTGAGACACCCTGTATAAGCAAATCTAAAAAAATATTAATGCGGTATAGACTCATCACATTTTGCACATTTAAGATAGGATTTGTTCAGCACAATAAATAACACATTGCTAAGCGGAGAAAGATAAGCTCCTCCGTAGTCTAGTGGTAAGAGCACCCGCCCGGCAAGCGGTAAACGTGTGGTTCGATTCCCACCGGAGAAGCAACATTTTTCTTCGCTTACCTTCAGGGGGATGAGCAAATACATTTGAATAAAATAAATTCACGCATTCATTAATTCTTTGAGTCACCCTGTATAAGCAAATCCAGAAAATATTAATGGAATGATAAATCACAAGGATAAACTCATTAGACTTTGCACATTTAAGATATGATTTGTTCAGCAAAATTTTGAGGTGACGTTATCAATTTTTTCAATTTTTAGGGGGGTTGAGCAAATACTTTTTAATCAAAAATTGACCATTTTGTAGTTCCTGATTAAATCAATTCATTCATTAATTTTGGAACTGATCAGTCTTATCTTAGCAAATACTAGTATTTCGGCAAATGACATATCTTTCAAGTAGTACTTATTAAGAAAAGACTTATTTTGGCAGACGACATAGCCTCTAAGAAAAGAGGGTGGGCGGGCGGGGCTACTACTTGCTAAGTTAGGACTTATTTTGGCAGACGACATAGCCTCTAAGAAAAGAGAGGGTGGGCGGGCGGGGCTACTACTTGCTAAGTTAGGACTTATTTTGGCAGACGACATGGCCTCTAAGAAAAGAGAGGGTGGGCGGGCGGGGCTAGTAGCTGCTGAGGTAAAACTGATTTTAGCAGGTACTAGCCCCGCCCACTCACCCTCTCTTTTCTTGGAGGATGTCATTTGCCAAAATCAATCTTATCTGAGGAGTTACTAGCCCCGCCCACCCTCCCTTTCTTTTATTATAGGAGACCTCATTTACCAGAATCAGTTTTATCTTAGCAAATACTGATAAGTGATGACTAACTTTCACAAAAAATTATCAAAATTTGGAAACATTACGAACTTATATACTTATATGCACAAGGCAGGAATTTTGAACATCTTCTCTAGCGTTGAGTTGGTTATGCGTTAATGGATTTTTCTTTTGTTGGTTTTGTTGACAGACTCATCATATTTTGCACATTTTGGGTGGAATTTAGTCGGCAAAATTTTGAGATAACGTCATCATTTGGGGGGGTGGAATAAACAGATTTATTTTGATCAACAATTTACCATGTTTACAATGGCTATAACGTCTGCAAGATTTCAAAGTACTCAGTTTTGCAATTCTTGATTTAATCAAAAAACTAAATTGACTCAGTCATTAATTATTTGAGACACCCTGTATAACTAAATCTAAAAAAACATTAATGCAGTGATAAATCACATTTAAGGTAGGATTTGTTGAGCAAAATTTTAGGTGACGTCATCAATTTTTTAAGGGGTGTGGCGCCACAATAACACGTTGGTAAGCGGAGAAAGATAAACTCCTCCATAGTCTAGTGGTAAGGGCACCCGCCCGGCAAACGGTAAACGTGTGGTTCGATTCCCACCGGAGAAGCAACATTTTCTTCGCTTATCTTCAGCAATACATTTTGATAAAAAATTTACCATGCTTATGATAACTTTTGAAACATCTCCAATTTTTCAAAGCATTCGATTTTGTAGTTCCTGATTGAATGAATAAAATAAATTCACGCATTTATTAATTTTTTTGAGTCACCCTGTATAAGCAAATCCAAAAAATACTAATGGAATGATAAATCACAAGTATAGACTTATCATACTTTGCACATTTAAGATACGATTTGTTCAGCAAAATTTTGAGGTGACATCATCAATTTTTTCAATTTTTTAGGGGGGTTTGAGCAAATACATTTTTATCAAAAATTGACCATGCTTATGATAGATAACTTTACAACATCTCCAAGATTTCAAAGCATTCAATTTTGCAGTTCCTGATTAAATCAATAATAATAAATTCACGCATTCATTCATTAATTTTGGCCCCGCCCACCCACCCTCTCTTTTCTTAGAGGATGTCATTTGCCAAAATCAATCTTATCTTAGCAGTTACAGTGAAACCTGTCTATGCCGGACTCTGTAGAAGACGGAGAACTGCTCATCGCGGAAATTTTCCGCAGTCCCGTTTTTTCAAATACCTAATTTAATGTATTTTGGTCCGTATAAGCCGGAAACTGCATAACGCGGAAACGGAAAATATTTGTAAGTCCCAACGTGTCAAAATACATGCACCCAACTCTGTATAAAACGGAAGCGTGAACAAAATCGATGATTTCTACGAAAAATATGTAATTCAATTCGTGGACCTGCAGGTGCATTTTTTGTCAACAGGAAATCACTGTTCTCAATTCTCATTTAATTAGTGTCTCTCGTGGTTATATGTGTGTTCGCAATGGCCCAAAAAACGACCAACAGTAACAGCAAAATGGATTTAATTAATGTACAACAGCAGCAAAATTTGAGTGTTAAAGAAATTGCAAAATTTCGGTTGCAAAAAACGCAAGTGTATCAAATCATAAAACATATTCTTAAAATAAATTAGAGAATAATGGCAAAGCGGTGAGCGTCTAGCCAACCTTTTGCAGTTGAGAACAAGCATGGAAAATATATCTCAATGGCCGAAAAAGCAAATAACATTAAACAACTATTTCAAATAATTCTTTTATATGTACCTATGTATTCAATTTAATAAAAATTGATTTCCGTTTTATAGAGGTTTACTTTCCGTCATAGCCGGGTTTCCTGTAAAAGCCGGAACCCTGTTTAAGACGGATAACAATTTTGGACCCGCGCGATTCCGGCATAGACAGGTTTTACTGTACTAGCCCCGCCCACCCGCCCTTTCTTTTCTTAAGGTTATCTCATCTGCCAAAATTACTCTTATCTTAGCAAATACTAGCCCCGCCCACCCGCCCTTTCTTTTCTTACAGGGTACCTCATTTGCCAAAATCAGCAAGTACTGATGACTAAATTTTACAAAAAATGATCAAAATTTGGAAACACTATATACACAAGGCAGGAATTTTGAACATCTTCTCTAGCGTTTAGTTGGTTATGCTTTAATGGATTTTTCTTTTATTAGTTTTGTTGACAGACTCATCATTTTTTCCCACATTTTGGATATGATTTATTCGGCAAAATTTTGAGCTGACGTCATCAATTTTTTGGAGGGGATAAGTAAATATATTTTGATTAAACATTTATCATGCTTATCGTAACTGTAAAACATCTACAAGATTTCAAAGCATTCGGTTTTGCAGATGTAAAATTAAATTGCAAAATGTTTTATAATTTTTTTTTTCCAAAAATCTGGACGTTTTGGGGAAAAACTCAACACGGAGTCATAAACTACATGTGTAAGACTATACAATTTAAAACCCATTTGCTATGTACAATTTTGAAGTGACGTCATCACATTATTGGTCATGTCCAAGATTTCAAAGCATTCAATTTTGTAGTTCCTGATTAAATCGATAATAATAAATTCACGCATTCATTCATTAATTTTGGCCCCGCCCACCCAACCTCTCTTTTCTTAGAGGATATGTCATTTGCCAAAATCAATCGTATCTTAGCATTTACTAGCCCCGCCCACCCGCCCTTTCTTTTCTTAAGGTTATCTCATCTGCCAAAATCACTCTTATCTTAGCAAGTACTAGCCCCGCCCACCCGCCCTCTCTATTCTTACAGGGTACCTCATTTGCCAAAATCAGCAAGTACTGATGACTAAATTTTACAAAAAATGATCAAAATTTGGAAACATTATATGCACAAGGCAGGAATTTTGAACATCTTCCCTAGTGTTTAGTTGGTTATGATTTATAATGGATTTTTCTTTTGTTGGTTTTGTTGACAGACTCATCATATTTTCTAGATTTTAGATAGGGTTTATTTGGCAAAATTTTGAGCTGACGTCATCAATTTTTGGAGGGGATAAGTAAATATAATTTGATTATTGGTGGGGATGACTAGACAAATTTTGGTTAGCTTTTTTAGCATCTATATGATATTCCTAATATAAATACAAAATTTGACAACAATCTAATAAAAATCGGGACGGCAGACAGGCGGACGGGCAGACAGGCAGACAGACGGAAACGGGAGACCTATTTCTTTGGTCTCTATTGCGATACATACAAGTAAAAAAGCAAATTTGTTAAATGCAAATTGACGCTTGTATTTTAAATAAATTAATTTAATGATCCAGTTTTTTAAATATGTATGAATTTAATCTTAATTACACACCTCTTCCAACAAAAAATTACAAAAAAAAATTATTATAAAATATAATTCATATCCCGTTGCATTAAATTTTAAAACTGGAACTTTTTCAACTAATTACCATATTACAACACCATAAAATTATATAATGGTGTTCTCTGCAAACTTTCAAGTTAATTAAAATTAACTCCCTTGAGTATGCAGTGAATTTATCTACTTCCATAACACACCACAATGGTTATAAACACCCATGTGGTACTTGGTGGAAGACAAAATTGATTGATACATACCACAGTAACTCCAAGGTGTCGCAAAGCCATCCTTAACGCAGATCTAAGACAAGTTGGTGGGGTCCACCAAACTTTCGGAGGTGGCGTAGCTTTGGTATTTATGTGTTTTAAAACCATTCCCACTTTCTGCCTATTGTTTGCCTGTTCGGCAATCCACTCATTCATTCTACATGACTCTATCGTACCATTAAAAACCACAGCCAATTCGATATTACCCCGTTCTATAGCTCTTGTTAATAAGGATTGGAACTGAATCATTCGATTCCATTGGCCGCCGCAAGCCCAATCTAAACACACAACAATAAATAAACTGGCGCCAACACGAATCAATTAATTACCTGAGAAATATCCACCGTATAACCTATCTAAGCAATTTTCCGCATCTACAATGAGTTTGAGTTTGTTCCCGATGGGTCTAATTTTTCGATTCGTGTTATGCGGTTGCTGCCTCTGCGTCACGTTTCTGGCGATCTTCAACAAATCCACCGAGACCGCGCCTCCTTCTAAACTGGGGCTTTCGAGGTAAACTTGTAAGTCGTGGACCCCCATTTTGAACAACACGCACTGTTTAATAATCACTGTTTACCATTTCCGAATATGCTGCAACATGATTTCAACTCCTCTTTAGAGAATTTATAGCGCTGTGGTTTATTTGTGTTCGTCTAGTGAACGCATTCAAGAAAAACATTCACAGCATTATGAAACCTCGGCCGCCATTATGGTTCCGAAAGCACTCAAACAATCAACAAGAACATTCGTTCGCACCTGCGACAACCCCACAGCTAACACGGTTCTAACATTGGGAAAACATCACATTCAACGGGTTAGTCATCACCGAGGGGCGACTCGTCCACGGGAAAAACTTTTAATTACCTCAACAAGACGCCTTCAATTTCAAGATGCCGGCACATTCGTTCCTGTTTTTTTTCTGACGTGTTGTACGTTGTGAATTGTGAGTTGGGTTGGAATTACACTATTGTTTTATTGAGATATGGTGTACGAAGTGTTTTGCGTACTTTCTGGTATTAATCAACCTATAAAACTGCATGTTTTGTGATAGAGAAATTAACAAAATATTTACCGGAAACTTCACGTTCAATGCGTTACTGGAGTGCGCATGACGGAAACACAGGACGGCCATGTCAAATGCACGGTGACAAGTTTGAAAGTGCGCGGGAATATGTTTGTTTTAGAAGAGAGACAAGTTTGAATTGGGTGCCATTTGTTGCCTTAAACGCAACCAGCAATTCTTCTTTTAATCTAGCTGACGCGCTGGGATAGACGACTACCGGACGTGAATAATTGAAAAATTGAAACATTTTAAATGAAAAAAATCGGTAAACCGAAAAATTGAAAAATCTATAAATCGAGAAATTGAACAATCTAAAAATTAAAAATCGAAGAATTGGAAAACCAAAAAATCTAAACCGAGAACTTGAAAAATCGAATAATCGAGAAATCGAAACATTAAGGAAAACAATAAAATTAACGGAAAATCTAGAACTTAAAAATTGAAAAATTAAAATACCTATCGAAAAATTGACAAACCGAGAAATCGAAACATCAAAAAATGGAAAAATTGAAGAACCGAAACATTGCAAAATCTCAGAACTGAAATACTGAAAAACTGAAAAATGGAAGGAACATTGAAAAATCGAAAAAGTGAAAAAATTCAAAACTGAAATCTTGAAAAACTGAAAAATGGAAAGAAAATTGAAGAATCGGACAAGTAAAAAAATCCAAAACTGAAACATTGAAAAATCCGGAAATCGAAAAATTGAAAAATCACAATTGAAGAAAGAATTGAAAAATCAAGAAATAGAGAAATGGGAAAATCAAAAAATCAGGTAATCGAAAAATTGAAAAATCGAAAAATTTAGAAACGTCAAAAATTGAAAACTGAAAAATAAAAAAAAAATTTAAATCGTAAAACTGAAATATCGTAAAGTTAATAAATTGAAAAACTGAAAATTTTTGAAAAAAAAATCGTATCAAAAACTAAAAATTCAAAAAATTGAGAAATTGAACAATCAAAACATCAAAACATTGAAATCCCAGTAAGTTGATAAATAGGAAAATTTAAAAAACAAAAATCTTAAAAATCCAAGAATTGAACAACAAAAAAATTGGTCTAAAGAGTTTAGACAGTACTTCCCTCGCTGTCGGAAACTTGACGACTGCATGCCTATTGTGTTTTTTTTTCTCATTACATTTTTGTAGTGGGAATTTAAAAGAAATTGCGATGACGTCATCAACATTTTTGCAAGGACACGTATATCAGTTGGGATAGATGTAGTGTAATACTAAGAATAAAATTATTATATTCTCAAATTTTCGGGAAAATGAATTGGGTCGTTTTGAATATTGATTTGTAATAATCAATAAAATAACGAAACAATTTACTCACGTATACGTATCAGAGGCAACTGAAAATCGTGTATGTATAAACATTCTTAATTTAAGATGACAGGCGTAACAGCATACGTGAGAGTCAAACAGAGAAACTGTAAACAAAACGACCATCGGTTTTATTGCTTCGACTTCCGCTTATTATATAAAACATTGGGTTTTATTTTAATTCTTGACGGTGAAATTCACAATTGGTTGATTATAAACATGTCTATTTCACATTCGCGGAACCAAGTGAACGCATAAAACAAATGCAGGTCTGTAATGTTAAAGTCGTTGTAAATAAGCGTGCTACCCTTATGTTTCAACCGAGTTTTTCCTTTAACAAATTTTGTGTCTACCAAATTGGGTTGGTTGGGATGTAATACTAATAAGAAGTGTTGCCTTTAATTTAATCAATAAAATAAATTGACTTCATTAATTTTTTTGAACCACCTCTTAAGAAAATCTAAAAAATATGAATGGAATGATAAATCACAAGTACAAACTCATCATATTTTTTGCATTTTAGATAGGATTTATTCAGCAAAATTTAAGGGTGACGTCATCAATTTTTTTAGGAGGGATGAACAAATACATTTTGAACAAAAGTTTACCATGCTTATAATAACTTTAAAATATTCCCAAGATTTCAAAGCATTCGGTTTTGTAATTCCTGATTAAATCGATAAAATAAATTCACGCCTTCATTAATTTTTTTGAGTCACCCTGCATATGCAAATCCAAAAATATGAATGGAATGATAAATCACAAGTACAGACTCATCATATTTTGTACATTTTAGATACGATTTATTCGGCAAACTTTTGAGCTGACGTCATCAGTTTTTTGTAGAAGATAACCAAATATATTTTGACTAAAAATTTATTATGCTCTTTATAACCTTAAAACATCTGCAAGATTTCAAAGCATTCGGTTTTGTAGTTCCTGATTAAATCAATAAAATAAATTTACGCATTCATTAATTTTTTTGAGTCACTCTGTATATGCAAATCGAAAAAATTTGAATGGAATGATAAATTACAAGAAGAGACTCACCATATTTTGTACATTTTAGATAGGATTTATTCAGCAAAATTTTGTGATGACGTCATAAATTTTTTAGGGGGGACGACCAAATACGTTTTGATCAAAAATTTACCAGGCTTATGATAATTTTAAAATATCTTCAAGATTTCGAAGCATTCGGTTTTGTAGTTCCTGAGTAAATCAGTAAAATAAATTTACGCTTTCATTTATTTTCTTGAATCACCCTGTATATGCAAATCCAAAAAATATGAATAGAGTGATAGATCACAAGTACAGACTGATCATATTTTGTACATTTTAGATATGATTTATTCGGCAAATTTTCGAGCTGACGTCATCAAGTTTTTGGAGGGGATAAGCAAATATATTTTGACTAAACATTTATTATGCTCTTTATAACCTTAAAACATGTGCAAGATGTCAGAGCATTCCGTTTTGTAGTTCCTGATTAAATCAATAAAATATATTTACGCATTCATTAATTTTTTGAGTCACTCTGTATATGCAAATCCAAAAAATATGAATGGAGTGATAAATGACAAGTACAGGCTCATCATATTTTGTACATTTTAGATATGATTTATTCGGCAAACTTTCGAGCTGACGTCATCAAGTTTTTGGAGGGGATAAGCAAATATATTTTGACTAAACATTTATTATGCTCTTTATGACCTTAAAACATCTGCAAGATTTCAGAGCATTCGGTTTTGTGGTTCCTGATTAAATCAATAAAATATATTTACGCATTCATTAATTTTTTTGAGTCACCCTGTATATGCAAATCCAAAAAATATGAATGGAGTGATAGATCACAAGTACAGACTCATCATATTTTGTACATTTTAGATATGATTTATTCCACAAACTTTTGAGCTGACGTCATCAAGTTTTTGGAGGGGATAAGCAAATATTTTTTGACTAAAGATTTATGATGCTCTTTATAGCCTTAAAACATCTGCAACATTTCAAAGCATTCTGGTTAGCAGATTAAAAATTAAATTTCAAAATGTTGTTTTATAATTTTGATTTTTTTTCCAAAAATCTGGACGTTTCGGGTGAAAAGTCGATTCAGAGTTGTAAACTACATGTGTAGGACTATGTTATTTTATACAATTGAAAACCCATTTACTATGTACAATTTTGAAGTGACGTCATCGCATTAGTGGTGGGGATGATTAGACAAATTTTGGTTAGCGTTTTACCATCTACATGATATTCTTAATATAAGTACAAAATTTCACAGCAATCGGTCGAGTACTTTCGGAGATTATCTGTCTAATAAAAATCCGGGACGGCAGACGGACAGACGGACGGACAGACGGACAGACGGACAGACAGACGGAAATGGGAGACCTATTTCTTCGTCTTCTAGGGGTCATGAAAGATCGAGAAAACGTAAAAGTAGAGAGTCGGCCGACGGACTCGATTACAATACTTCCTTTGCTTACGCTCGGGAAGTAAAAAATCTAAGCCTGAAAACTCAGAAAATTGAATGATCGAGAACAAAAAATCTAAAATTTAAAAATTCGACAAATTGAAAACTCATGGAACTGAAAAATCGAAAAGTCGAGATAGTGAGAAATCTAAAAACCTAAAATTTTAAAAACTAAAAAATTAAAATATCGAAAAATTTAAAAACCGAGAAAACACAATATCAAAAATTTGAAAAATTGAAGAAACGAAATATTGCAAAATTCCAAAGCTGAAATATTGAAAAACCTAAAAATGGAAGGAAAATTAAAGAATCGAAACAGTGAAAAATCCCAAACTGAAACATCGAAAAATGGGAAAATCAAAAAAATTGGTCTAAAGAGTTTAGACGGTACTTCCCTCGCTATCGGAAACGTGACGACTGCATGCCTATTATGTTTTTTTTCACATTAGATTTCAAAGCATTCGGTTTTGTAGTTCCTGATTAAATCAATTAAATAAATTTGCGCGTTCATTAAATTTTTTGAGTCACCCTGTATATCCGAATCCAAAAAATATAAATGGAAGGATAAATTACAAGAAGAGACTCATAATTAGAGAGCGGATTTTATGAAATTTGCATATCCGTTATTTTTTGCATATAAGTCTTGATATTTAATATGTGACCGAATCAAGCTAATTAACAATGAATACAGCTATAAAAAAAATGCATATTTGCATATATTTGCCTTCTGCTGCATATTTCACGTAACTGGTGCATATTTCGCATTTTTATCAATTTTTGTGCCAATTTGAAAAACAAATTGTCATTCTATCGGCATTTATCTAGAGAGCCGAAATTTCATTAATCATATTGCAAATATTGTCCTGAGCTTCAAATAACTAGTAAAGGTTTGGGTTTTATGGTAATTTGGAGGAACCACTGGGTGTAAAGCCATTCTTCCAGGTAAATTCGAGTCCTGATTACTTTTGGAAATACCATTCATTCCCATATTTTTGTTCCTTACTTAAATATATTATATATATTATGGTGGTCGAACGGACTTTATTCTATTATTATTTGTCATCGTGAGTGCATTGAAAGCATTTAAAGCCATACAGGTGTGTCAATATGTGAAGGTAACTCAAATTAATTTCTGGATTAAACCTTTTCCTGAACTTATTCTTCAAAAAGGAACTCTGTTTTGTCGCGCCTGCTCTAAACCGGTAAGGATTTTTACATCTGTGGACGTAGTGCCCCGTT